ATACTCAGTGAGCACTGGAAAGAAAAATAAATAATGTTCATAAATTACTTCGAGGAAAGAAACACTGAAGTGTTATCTATTGACCTATACAGCCCAAGCACCATCATGGTTTCTTTAGAACACTCTAGCCAGAAGAGGAGTTAAATCATTAAACTCTACACTGTTGTGCAAGTGTGAGATGTCAGCTGTGATTAGTACTACCATGTTTAAATAAGGAAAAATTTCAAAGTAATCCAGAGTCATTGAACAGAACTGGATTACTAGATGAATGGGAAGAATAAGCCTCCAATTATTTTAGTTAGAGTCCTCAAAGAATACAAATTATCAGTATTAGCTTTTGACTTGTTAGGAAAGTATTTCCATAAGACTTCAGAAGTTTATCACAACTAAAGCCCCCAAGCAAGAAAAATCACAGAAATATTTTACAGACCATCCACTGCTGGGATAAATGGCATACTTTCTGAACAGTACTTACAACACATCCTACATTAAGAGTCTGATGTTAGAGCTAGCTGAAAGTCAGAATTCCCATTCAGAATGAAAAGCAAAACTTTCTGCAGAGGTAAGAAAAGCTGAAATAATTCACTGTTTTCTCTTGCCTAAGAAACAGATCATTCCATAACAGTATATTCTGAGGATTTCCTCAACAGTGGATTCTGGAGCCTACCAAGCACACCTATCTAAGGAGTCCTGACCAGAACTGGCGTGAAGTGCTCCTGTGTTTGTTACCGTCCAATCCTGCTGCAGGAAGTGTGACAGCTTTGCTGTCCCTGATTACTGGGGTTTATTGCTCCTAGTCACTCCTGTCCACACAACTCTTCCAGATTTGGCACCTATGTTTAAATAATCGGAATAGTTTGTGTGAATAAGTTTAAATATGTTTCCAAAACTGGATCTAGTTTATAGCACACCAGAAATAAATGGTTATTTGACAGGCAGCATAATACAAAGACAACTTTTCCCATAAAGCTAGACAAAATTAAAAAAAAGTACAAATTGAAAGAAAAACTCACAACCCTAGGGAACCAGAAATACTTTATTGGAAAAGATCTCATATATGGACTTCAAAAATAATCAATTCATTTTGTCACCAACAGGTAAATATTGCATCAAAGTAACACGAAAAGGTGCATGGAAGAGGATTGAGGGGGGAAAAAAAAAAGACTAATTTTTGCTGATAGCCAAAGAAGAAAGCAGAGGCAGAATCTGAACACATAATTTCTTCCATCTTAACTGTCTGTTTGGTTCTCTGATCCATCCTATCTTTAACAGGTGAAGTAGCATTAGCTCTTCAGTTAACAATGTAAGTATTTTGTAATATCCAGTTACTGAGCAAAAATAGGACTTGAAGTGTACATTACTTTGGATTTATATGCTCCTAGCTTCTTTGCAGTAGATATTTAAAACAAGTATGTTGCAGTTCTTTAGTATTCTTTTGTTTGTTTGTTTGTTTTTAAATACAGAAATATTAAATATTTCTCAAGCCTTCCCTGGTACCTGTACAAAAAAGTCATTGATAAAGTCTGGCCAGAAAAGGAGAAGCAGTTCCTACCTGTAGAGCACTTTTGAACTACACTCATACACTGGTAAATGCACAGCCACTATTCTACTGGTAGGATTATATTGTATTGCTGATTTCTGCACAAGAAAAACAACAACCTTTTATATCACTACTTAGACACTAAAAGTAATTTTATAGCTGTACAGTTAAAACCAAAATACATTTATTACTAAACCAACTAGTGGGTGTGTCTCCCCCCACCACATACACACACAAAAAAACCCCCCAAAAAACAGGAGAACCCCAAAACTAAAACTAAAATCCACAAAATTCCACAACTGTGACAATTTCAGGATAAGAAATTAAGTTTCTATAATACTGGTGCTATTTAAAAGTTGCTACTAATAAATTAGCTAAATTGCCATTCATGCCATTGACTTGATAAGCTTTGTTCTTGTGTTTGTATAGTGCTGTCAGTACGGATTGTATTTCATAGAGGTAAAATATAACAAGCTACCCTTCTCAAATTCTTTCTATCTAATGCAACATTTGTAAATTCACATATCCTGCTCCAGAATCAGGATTATTAACAGAATGTTATGAAACGTATTTCCATGGCTTCATGGGCATCTATAAATGGTGCTGTACAATATTATTTGTCTTTACGAACATCAGATGTGTTTACAACACAAATGGTTTGTCTGTAGCACTCACTTATTAAGGGGAAGGTAAAAACAATTTGAGGTCACATGTGTCCCTAATGCCAAAAATGCAGTTATCCAAGCATATACACTGTTCTTGAATACTCTCCTCTGTGTAGGGAAATATAACTGGTATGCAAGACTAATGTATCAAAATTGCAGAAGGTATCAAAATGAAAGTCTGTAAATACAGATTTTTTTTTTTTTAAGAAAGCAAGAGAATCTGTGGTATGACATTCTTATTATCAGTTTTTTAAATAAAGCCTCTCTTTCGCCCTTTATTTTTCTCTTCCCATCAAAAAACCCTAACCTCTCATCAACTCCTATACAAGATCAAATTACAATCTACTGAACCTAACAATCACTCTTCTGAGCTAGAACTGACAGTGTAAATAAATAATAGGAGTTTAGGATAAATATAAAAACAGTGTAAGCCCTGAACTATGCAATAAAACTTTAGGTGAGTCATCAGTAACAGTCAACATACACTGGCAGACATCTTCTGTGCTTTATTCTTGGAAGTATTCTTTCAACTCCCAGGAGGGCTGTATGGAATACCATTCCACTTAAAAAGTGGGAAGTCTCAAGATGCGAAAGAAACATTATTGTAAAATCTCACTATACTCCATGGTAGACTTACTGATCGAATTTCTACGCCAAAACAAACAAAGAAAAAAAAAAAGGCCTGCCAGAAAACTTCCCCAACTGTCCAGAGATTAGGAAACCCAACCTGTCTTTCAACTTCACAGAAGTTGAAACTGAACGTGCCATGAATAGCTTGATCAAGTCTGAATCACAGGTTTTATAGAACTTGTGACTAAAATAGCTCTATAAACTTGTGTTACAACTGGCACAAAAAGCCTGTCTATCTCCCTACCTTTATCTGAAATCAAATTGTTTATCACATTCCTTCCTCATACATCAGCTCCTTGTGATGAAAGCAAGCCAGTGATTAATACTCTTTATTAGGTTGGTTCCAGTGACTTGGAATGAATTTGCCCTGACTCCTTAAGTATGCTACCACACCCACTGCATGGCACTCCAACCATGTTAGGAATGCACAATAGAAAAAAAATTATCTTAGACGATACTTCATAAATCTATAGCAATAAAATTAGCTTCGTGACAGCTTCAAGCACAAATCTTCAGGAGTTCTTCCTCCCTCTCTCCAAGAGGCAACCCAATAGCTTTGAAAACCTGAAGAAGGCACTGTTCTGTCACTGGCACTCTGTGCTTTCCTATAGCGCATTAAGCAAAGCATGCTGTAGAAGACATAAATGGAAAGCAGTCCAAACTCTTCAATTTTGTAATTACAAGGTGATAAAATATGAGGTTTTATCCAAGTCTTGCTTACATGGCTGTAATCTATCTTCTATTACACCAGGATCACAGATTTTATCTAAATTTACAGACTGATTTTTCTATGCATCCTTTTGCAAAACATACTAGACAAAGGATGGGAAGACTTGAATTAGCCTAGACACTGCCTGACAGCAAACTATACTTAGCAATTAACTATATCCTCTGTACTAATTACAACTTGTGTTGGCTTGAGTGATAACTGCAATGTTTTTGCCTTTGGCATGATGGGAGTAAGATCAACTGTACAAAAAGTGTTCAGCACTGGATGGTTTTAATTACTGATTACCAACTGAGACTTGAGAACTGACCAGACACTCATACCTTGCCTCCACTGCAAAGACTTGTTTGAACTCCCTTCACAGCCATCTACATAACATTTACACAAGGATACTTCACACTGAGTTCTTTTCTATCGGTTTATAGATTAGGGAGAGACCTGTATTTCAAAGGTCTGTTGACACAACTAGATTAATCTACATGCTTTCTTCCTGCCCATACACATAAAACTATGCAAGTGAAAAGAAATTTTTCTTCCGATTTTAAGGTGTTTATGGTCTCTTCACCAAGGAGTTTTGTCAGTACCTCTCTCAGGGTAGCTAAGCAGACCTTTGTATGAAAGTAATTGATCTCAGAATTAAACCCATAAACAAGGTTATCCAAGACAACCACTGTGACACGTTACCAGATCCTGCAATATTATCCGTGGTTAGAATGAAAACAAACTCCACGAACATCTTTACCCCCAGGATGGGCATACAGGTGCAACCCGAGCAAGACTTCAACCTTTCAACCCAATCTAGACTTTCTTTGTATAATCTGCCAATACAGAAACTAGCGCCGGCGCACTTTCCGTGTTAAATTCGCAGGGACCCGAGATGCCCGCGGTGCGCTGGTGCCAGCCGCCCTCCGGGCAGCCGGGCCCTCGGGGCTCCTAGCACGGAAGCTGCCGGGCCCGCCTCCCCGGCGCTCTGGGATGGCGCGGAGGTGCGGGCCTGGGCCTCCCCGCGGCGCAGCCCGAGGCCGGGCCGACCCCAGCGCAGGGAGCAACGCACTGAGGCACCTGAGGAGAAAGGCGGGAAACCGCGCTTCAGCCACCGCTGGCCTGGGTGTACAGAGCAGACCCGGCTTCTCCAGGGCAAAGGTGGCTGAGGCACATTCCACACCAGCATCCCGAGGAGAGAGGAAGGGGAGGGAAAGAAAAAAAAAAAAAAAAATAAAAAAAGACTTCCTTATCACACAGCAGCCCCTCCTCCTCACCCGCGCCCGCCTCCATCTCGGAACCCTGCCGAGCCCGACGCAGGTGCGCGCCCGCCTCCCGCCAGCCGGCGACTGCGCATGCTCGCCCGCGGCAGGTGCGCGCCCCCGCCCTCCGCCCCTCCCGGCAGCGCAGGCGCAGTGGCGCCGTCGCCCCGCCCCGCCCCCGCGGCTGCCGCTGGCTCGGCAGGTGCCAGGGGCCGTCGTGGCCCCGCCCCCTCGCCCCGGTCTGAGGGCGGCGGCAGCAGCCGGCGGAGCGGCCGCGGTGCCGGGGGCAGTTGGGCTTTGGGCTGCGCTGCTCGCCGCCTCTCACCTCCCTTCCTGCAGCGCGCTCGGGGGCACCCGGCGGAGAGGGAGAGAGAGATAAAGAGAGAGAAGACGAGACACCGACCCTCCGGCGGCATGAACCGGCCTCATCGCGGGGCTGCGGGCAGCCGGGGCCTGGGCACCATGGAGGTGAAGAGTAAGGTGGGTGCTGGCCGCCGCGCCGGAGGGCCGCGAAGGAGCTGGCCTGGCCCGGCCCTGCCCTGCCCTGCGGGGGCGTCCGGTCGTGGTGTCGCCGTGGCGAAGGGCGGTGAGGGGACAGGGAGAGCTGCTGACTCACCTGCCGGAGGTGGCGGCGGGGGCAGGGGAGCGGCGGCCCCGGGGTCGCCTCAGGCCGCCGGGCTGCGGGAAGCGGTGGTCCCCGCGCTGCCCCGCCTGCCCCAGCCGGCTCCCCGGGCTCCACTCGGGCGGCTCGGCCGCTACAAGGCGAAGGTGGCGGGAGGCGGGTGGGGGTGTCTCTTACTGGGTGCGCTGTCTGCAGGGCGGGAAAAAAAAAAAAGTGTTTTTGAAGTGTTTTACGAAAATAGGTTAGTGGTGTTGGCCCCTTGGCTTCTTCATAAACTAAAAAACATACAGAGAAGTAGATGTTTGGGGAAAGTTTGGGATATCTGGGCCAAAAGAGTTACTTGGAGTTACAGTTCAGGCTCTGAAACCTGTGCTTTGTCTGAGCTAGAAAAAGAGTGTATTTGTTTAGCTTAGGGTCTGTTTCTGTACTCTGTTTAACTTCATGACTATATGTTTCTGTACTTTTTTTTTTGTGAGGTAGAGCATAGCTTGCATTATTTGGTAGAGGTAAACCCTGACTAACTGATCTTAAAGCAGAGCTGGCTATCTTTTAGAGACTGTTGGAGGATTTTACACGGCTAATTGTTTTATAAGTGTGTATCTGTATGCTATGGCTTATACCAATGGTTTATTGTTGTCAAAGCTTTTCACAATTCTGTAAATTCTCCTAAGGATGTGTCTGGATCTATTCTTCCTATTAGTTTTTCACAAGCTGGTTAGACAAAGTCTTGCTGACAAAACTTTGATGTTCTGAAAGAAATTACTTTTGTTCTGATGTATACTTGTAATATTTTGTCGACATGCCATTTTGCAGCTAACACTTGTAAAAGTGTTGGATTTACAGTGTCAACCTACTAGCTAAACAAGTGTGTGTAACTTGAGTTAACCCCCCCTTTTCACTGATTAAGCAAATTGCAAGTGCACCTATGTGTTTTCTTCCATTGGAAGAGAAAAGCCTCTTGTGGGCTTCTTTAACTGGTCTACAGTCTGTATTCTGTACCTTCCTTTTCTGCTAATCAAGTGTTAGAGCAGGAGTATAGCTGAAGCAGTTGGGAATTGTGGCATTGTGTGTTTTTTTTAATGATAACATAGTGCTGAAACTTCTAGAAAATGTATGGTTGGTCTCTATAGCTTGAATGGTGATGATTTTTTTGTAGTGTTAAATTAACTTTCATGTGGACAAAACCAGAAAGTACAGGAATAGCTGGTAGCTATGATTTCAAATACTAGTTAAGCATGGCTGTTACTGTGGTTGGTGAAGTCTTTTTTCATCTATGCTCTTGTAAGATTGAAAATAATCAGTACAGTGTGCTTATAAGCAAATACTTGTTGCCTCAGCCCAAAAATCTAGTCTTACTGTTACCATATGGTGTGTGTTTCCTTGGTTTAAAATATATCTAGGGATCACCTGTGTGATGTGTTTGTTGGTGTTTGTAGAGAGAAGTGTAGAAGCTATAATGAATAGGGACTGTCTTTTAAGTGCATATTAGGAAGCAGGTTTCAAGGCATTCCTAGAACTACTTGTCGCTAATGCATTATTTATGTGCACCTTGATTTAATATAGCATAGGAGTCATCATCCTTTTATGAAAATAATGAATTCTAAAGAGAAAGGCTTCTGTGAGAGGTGGAGGGGACCATTACTGTGGAGTGGGCTAGGCTTTGAAGGCTTATCAGCAATGTACAGCTCTTTATTTAGATATTACAAATCAATAATTGTGCCCCAACTGACAAAGCTGTGCCAGCACAACCGAGATGTAGTTGCAGTTATACGAGCAAAATCCTTTTCTTAATCTAGTTTATTCAGTTTGGGTAACTGGGCAGACCTTGATCTGGGGAGTCCAGGTTAATTCCAGCTAGCCTTTTCTCTCACCATAAAAAAAAAAAAAAAAGTTTATACCCCAAAGTAGAGATCCTGGTGATGGTATGAAAGTTGCAAAATAAACTTCTAGTTCACTAGATATAAAATTCAGGTTCCCCGCCCCCTCCCCCCCCCCCCTTTTATGACTTGGAATAATATTTTTTTTCATAATGAAACCTAATATACTGATAAGACAGATCTGATTACTGTAGTTCATGTTCTATTGTTGCTGGAGATTTATAGTATGACAGCAGTGTGATGTGTTACAGAGGACTTAAAGTTGTCTCATAAATAAGTCTTAACTGAGTATCTACTGTAACTTCCTAGTATGCTTGTACTGTTTTCCCAGATGAGGTACCAGTGTAACAGCATGCGTTTGTAAAGAGCTCAGGTGGCAAGAAGCCTTCTCAAGTTAGTATTTTCCAATCTTTCATCTCCTCTAAACTTACAAGTTGTAAGTGCAGCCCACTTAATGGAATGGAGTGCAACATTTGACATAAAATGAAAACCTTTCAGGGGATTAAAATAAACGATGAAATTGCATGGCTTTACTTTTATCTTTATCTGCTTTATAATAGTATTGAGCATATGGCAAACCATGTTAGGAAGTAATAGCCAGATTATTTGTCTCCTGGTGTTTGCACCAACTATGTATAAAAAAAGCCATGTGGAAAAATAAAAATTACACGTTTGAATGCTTGCTTTCAAGTCAGCATTTCTATGCTTACTGCAATAGGATTTAACATTTACTTCAAATTGACAGTGAGGTTGTTGGCTTTTTACACTTTTATTACTGAATTTGTTTAAACTACGTAGTCTTTTGAAGCCAAACAATTGAAATGGTTGCAAAGCATGGACAATTCCTCTGGCATTCACACTTCACATAGCTGAAGAAATACTTGGGAGGCACGGGATGAAGTCTTTCACTGTCGTCATGATTAAGAATGCTGCTTCTGACGTGATGGGAGTTCCTCCTGCAGGCTTTTCTTTGCTTTTCGTGTGAGCAGCTATGAATCATCCCTTCTACCTTATTGTTAGTTAATGTTACCGTAAGTGGAGTGTTTCTAGAAGAGGAATGTTCCCAGATAATTTTTTTTTTTGTTTGAAACCTTCGGAGTAAGGTGGGGTGTTGGAAGGTGTAGCTTGTTTTGCTGTACTGTGCTTGAGTTAGGGTGGTGTTAATGTGCTAACAACGGTGTCCTTGTCTCCTTATTTTCGTTCTTTTGTTTGTATGTGAGAACTCTAAAGCTTTTATTCTCCAAAAAGTTGTAATGAAATGTGAGGTAAAGGTTGGTCTGGAGGCTTAGTAATGTGCACCTTCACAGCTACTGGGTGTAACATATACCCAAGTATGTGATACTGAGGCTCAGACTTTCAGTCAGTATTTTGTTCCATGTGCCCTTCTGTTCTGCTTAAAACGAAACCTGATAAAGAAATTATTTAAAGTCTTTATATTCACTGTGGATCAGCAAGAGAAATCACAAAAAATGCCACCAACTGACTCTTTTGTTTGTTTTATATTTTTTAATGATTAGTTTGTTACCCTTTTAATTCGTATGCAAGCTGGTCTGCTTTTAGTAACCTGGCTGCTGCAGTCTCTTAATTGCTTTTAGCATCTTTCATATGTTGTGTGTGCCTGATATAGAGGGTTTGGAGTAACATTTATCCAGTATTCTGTTTGACTTGAGTCCTGCCTGTGTTGGGCAGAACGCTTTTAATTCTACCAGTCAGTCATGCTAAAATTACAATTTGTCTAAATCTACATCAAATGCTTACTCTTTTATTTGCACGCAGTTTAGTCTTATGCCAACCACCACTGAATCGTTGTTAGCATTGTTTTCAATAACTGTTTGTTATATAGGTGATTTAGGAGACTTAAGCTTGTGTGGACTAGGGAGCTGGGGTTTTTTGTTGAATGATCATACTGACTAAATGCAAATCCTACACCTGAAAGTACAGTGCCAGTGATTAAATGCTTTGTTTTGGGAATTTTGTGCATATTTTCTGAATGTTGTCTGTTTTGTACCCTGAATACAACTGCATTTTAAAGGACAATGCAATCAAAATTTGAGTCTTGATCATGTGGGAAAATCTTATGAATGCTTTTAAGGAGTAGTGGCTGGCTGGCTGCTTCTGTTATATCTCTCTTTAGGCAAGAATAGAATTGACTCACTAACACTTTACTGTGCATAATTTGTACTGAAAAGCAGCAGCCATTCTTTGCAGTCGTCAGGTTAAAGTGGCTTTTTCATTCCTTGTCCAAACAACTGGGAATCTGACAACTACTCAGTCCTGCATAGGTTAACCACAGCTGTATAACAATCTATACATACCATTCTAAAGTGCACTGGAATTTCTTTGAAAGTTCCAGGCAGTCACATACCACAGAAGGTTAATCACAATCTTGTTTTTGAGCTGCTAACATCAGTGCTAGGTATGAATTCTGTCCCTTACAGATAACATGGCTGTTTCATAAGCATGTAAGAATCTGCAATTATTCTTAAACTAGTTTGTCACCTTAATGCTAAGCTCCCATATTAGTGAATGCTTTGACATAAATGGAACAATGAAAACAACTTTTGCATATTCAAAAGTACATGCTTATTAAGACCAAAAATAGTTATAGCTTCGGGGAAAAAAAAAATAAACCAGTCTAAACTGACCTTTCTATGCCACTTCAAAATTATTTGTTGTAGTTTTTAGTGCACTTTTGATTCCATAACATTTCTGGTTTAACGTTCAAGTCATTCTATTGCTTGAGGATGTAAGATTTCCATATTAATGATGTAAGATATATTTTGTTGTAGTTTGGAGCAGAATTTCGACGATTTTCTCTGGAGAGGTCCAAACCTGGAAAGTTTGAGGAGTTCTATGGATTATTGCAGCATGTACACAAGATACCAAATGTTGATGTTCTAGTGGGATATACGGACATTCATGGAGACCTGCTGCCTATCAATAATGATGACAATTATCATAAAGCAGTTTCCACAGCCAATCCTCTACTCAGGATTTTCATTCAGAGGAAAGGTACGTGCACTTGAAGTCTATGAATCATCTGTTTATCCAGTTATACTGTGTTGCAGTAAACAGTGTGACATATGGAGGAAAAAACTCTTCAGTCCTATTTCATCATGTTGAATTCTGTAATAATTGTGGGTCGTGAAAGGTATTCACAACTCATCTCTCTTGCAAGAGCTTCCTCAGGCAACCTATTTATACTTTGTGGTTTTTTTTGCTTGTATTTAGTTCAGTTAAAGTCAAGTTAAATCTCTAGCAAATGCTCCTTTCTGCTTTTGTGTAAGCAAATGAAAATAAACTTTAAACCGCTAGGGTTTGCTGCTCTATATAGTGGATGCCTTTCACTTAAAATTCCGATCTTGATCAGACGAGAGGCCATTACAGAATGGAAAGGAATCTTGAAAGTCCTTATTACATGAAGTATTAAATGTCAGTATAAATTAAAGACTACCTTTGTAATATGCTACTCTTATGACACTTTCCTAATAAAACGTTCTGAAGCTTTCAAGATGACAAGCTTATTTCAGTTAGCAAACCTCAAATGTGAGTGCAGCTCAGTTTGTTGGTTTGCCTTTAAAAATATCATGTCTTCTAGGCACCAAGTTCCGATTGTCTTTTTCTAGTGTCTACTTTTGTTCATGGGGGAGGAGGGGGAAATCAGATTTGAAGTTGTATTTGTTCCTGTCCAGGACAGCAAACATATCAGTATATGGAACTGAAGAGGAGGGGATGAATCTAGTGATGTGATTTGAAATTGTTTTAGTCCAGAGAAGTAGAGAAAACCTGATTTCTGCACTTGGTTTTCTGCTTACTTGTATACAGGTGTAAATGTGCATGCATTGCGTGTACACGTATATATATGTATGAACACACGCACGTGCAATTCCTCTATCATAAAGCAGTCAACTGATCTTTGAATAGCAGACTGCTTCTTGCTTAGCTACTTTACAAAGATATGCACTGTTTCTGGTTGTTGCTAAGACAGGCTTATTTTCCTTAGAAAATACTTGGGCATTGGAAGCTTTTAATTTTTTTGGGGAGTGGCTAAAACTAATAAACTCCACAACAGCCTGACACAAAAACAGTATTAAACATCATGGCTGCTTGCCAGCTGCTTTGTTGCTGGCAAAATGTGGTTTGTATTGAGAAAAGTATAGTCTAGTAAAGCCTATATTTTCAGTCCTGAATTGTCAAATAAATGAACTATTTGCTTTAATAAAACCTAGATGTAGAAAAGGTCTATGATTCCATTTAATCTCCTACAGTAGCCACATGATGAGAACAGATAAGCCACTTTGTCAGACTGGGATTATTGTGTTTATATTTTAACACCATATGTTTTTAGATTGTTATTAGTGTTACATGTTTAGTGCTGATTGTTACTAGTGTTACATTTGTAGCACCTATACCTTTAAATAAAAGCATGATGGATTATTTCTTATTACTCTGGTGTGGGGAAGTGATAAAAGAATTTATATAATCACAGAACTAGAAATAAGATTACCCCACTTAAATTTATCATGCCAGGAATTGATTAGCTCTGTAGAAAGTGTCAGTTGTCATCACCTTAGCTTTGAGACTAGAGTCTTCTGGCTATAAAGTTTTAGGGAATAAAGAACCCAGGCTGGGATCTGAGTCCAGCACTTCCAGCACTGTACTTAGTTCTGAATTAGTTGTGACCACTTTGATCACTTCTGTTGATTAATTTGAGGCTTTGATTCCACTGGCATCTTTGCCTTATAGAACAGAGGTTTGTTTGGAAAATAAGGAAATAACCTGATTCTGAATTTTGTGATAATTTGCAGGTAACTAAAGCTAAATTGCAGGAGTTAGATGTGACAATATTTCTGTTTCCAGCAATAGTGGCTGGGAACTTAAAATCATTTGCAAAAAAACACTGTGGGGAAGAGAAAGTTTTTGCTGTCTTAAAATACAGGAAATTTTATACTATCTTACCTATTTAGAAGCTTCATGCAATTTGTGGAAAGCTGACATAAGGTATGAGCAGACTACAATCAAATCTAGGGTAAATAATATTAACTTTTTAATATATTGCATCTAAGGAACACCTTAAAGGGTTGAAACGGGAGCAACAAGATGCTTTTGAAGTGGTATTAATTACAATTGGGATAACATGACTCCAAAGTTTCAGAAATTTTGTTATGCCAGAATAAGCACTCTTCTGTTCAATTTTGGCTGCTAATTTAGGAAAGTTAGAAAGCTCTATGTCCTTAGTGTTTATGTGTACTGGTTAATATGGTAAGAAACCTAGAAATCCTGTAATGAAATGAAATCAAATCACATTATTCCCCTTAGACTCTTCTAATTGTATTTAACTAAATTACTTCAAAATATTTTAAAGTGCTCCTGTGCTAAATCTAAACTGTGTTTTGATATTTCACAAGTCAAGAATGTCTATTGGTTTGTGGAAAACAGTTGATTCTTGGAATTTCATTCTGCAGTCTAACAGATTAACGGGTACTGTTGACACCTGGAATTTAAAGGTTAAGCTGATATATCATGATTAAATCCAGATGTATGGGAGTCACTCTGTGAGAAAAATCTTACTGAAGATATAATGGGGGGGAGAAACAGAGCATGGTCTTCACAGACCCCGAAGGGCAGTTCAATATGGGAGACTTTGCATTGTAAATACAAGAGTAAGAGAGATGATAACAGAAGATATATTTCATTGTAATGTCCTTAAAACTCACTTGTAGGATATTAATTTACAATATACAACTCTTGCAAGTTCTTCGTGTACATGGCTGTACATATCGAGAAGTGGATTCTTTAGTTAATTCATTTGTGCCTGTTGAGGCATATGCTTTTTGTCTGAGAAGCTTTATTTTAGTGGAAAGAAAGGAGTTGGCTTTTTAAACAGCGCTCTTTGGAATATCTGAGCTAGTCTGAGTCCTATTCCTAAAAACATAAGTTAGTTTCATAAACTCATGTTTTGTTATAACTTGTGACTAAATAGATAAGATTTGGGTTTAATTTAAAAAATGCTAAATTGCATCTGTATTCAAATATACTAATTATAGGGTAACTCTACATTGCTTTGCAAAAAGATCAGGAAAACATTTTACATACCTGTCTTGAGCAGTGTTAAACTGAAACCAGTTTTAGCATTTGTGGGCTTTTGTTTTAAATGTATATACAGATTGGTGCCACCTTGAGCTTGAAACTGCTGAGGTGGTGCAGGGCAAGGGGGGAAATCATTCTTGCACTATGTGGACGTTCTCCTTAACACACTATCTGTAGTTAACACCTTGTCTTTTGGCTTTATGCCAAAATATTTTCTGCTGCAGCTTTAAACTGATTAGTTAGGTGCCAGAACAAAGATGCCTTTGTACTTGAGAATATTGCTTTAGAAAATTTGTTTAGCAGTGGAAGAGAGGTTAAACAGAGTCATGCTGTTTGGCTGAGATTTGGGGAGATGAGTTTTCATCAACTTTCACTATTTCTTTTTCCCACAAATTATGTAACTTTAACTGTATATCTTAAGCTTTGTGCTAGCTTTGCATTATTAGACTACTAAAACTAGTTGCAATGCAAAAAAAAAACCCCTACCCTCTGGTGCTTTATAGTTTCCTAAATGTTTTGACATATGGCTTGTAGTTTTGGGATGCTTTTATTTCAACAATGTGTCATGTAACTTGAGTAAGTTTCTAAAAGCAAAAGCACCAGCTCAGTGCTAAGGTTTCCAATTGTGTATTTGTCTTATGCAAGAGACTGTTAAAGTTCGTATTTCTTCCAATAAATACTTCTGTGATCTTAGTTTTTGTTTAAAAAGCACTTTTGAATCTGTTATTTCTCATACAGATATATTTACATAATATTTTTTTCAAAGCCAGTCCTTTTGCAACTGATCTTCATGTTTCTCTACTAACTGTGGAAAAATTTGAGTTTTAAACCTTATTAGCTGATAGTTGTGAGAAGGCAGGCTGGGTGATGATTTTCATGAACTCTCATTTCTTGTTGGGTGATGATTTTTGTGAACTCTCATTTCTTGTTGGGGAACAAAGTTGAGAATAGTTCTAGATCTAATTGTTGGGTAAGGAGCACAAACTTACTATGATCATTTTCAGAACACAATAAACCTTCCTGGATGTAATAGATGTGTATATGTTTGTATATCTAGTGCATGCCAGACTTACCATGTAGGCACAGCAGGCCTGAGTGGCAGGAGAGGGATCCTGGTACGTGACCAGCTTTGAGGGTGAAGAAGCTTTTCAGCCCACTGTGGCAAGCTGGGAGGGTCAAATATGATTATTTGATATGACAGAATGTGTAAAACACCAGATTCTCTGATTCTTTGCCAAGAATCTGAATTTGTGCACTTTGAATTTAAGGTGGAAAACTCCCAAACTGAATACCTTTCAATGTTGCAATGCGTGTGGAACTTGTAAGAAAATCAATACTGACAATGCTTTGATACACTGTTTTCCTGTGTGCTGTTTCAGAACCAACTCTTGTAGTAAAAGCAGTAGAAACCTAGTGCTTCACTGGTATCAGTGTTAGCATCTATATCCTAGAATTTTTATCAGCAACTTCCACTGTAGCACAAATAAATTGTGCATGTGTGATTTTAATTTTTTCTTTAGATGAGATTACTCTAAAAAAAAATAAAAAGGCATAATACGGCTTAAATTCTGAACAATATGGAAATAATCAGTTAAAAAGCTTCCAACTTACTCTCTGGCTCTCTGGAAAACTTCCCAAAGAACAGAGATCTTCTGGAGCAGTGTGGTGTTAAGTGTCTAGAAATATGTCACCACTACAAAAAAGTGAAGCTTTTGAAATGAGGCAAAATTGCACTTCTTGGCCATGCAGTGTCTCTCTGGTCCTTGGAATACTTTAGTGTTTTTGAATTTACCGTTCATTGTGCAGCTGTAAAAACAGGGTTCTAAATATCAGAGGTCTATACTACTTAGACATGCATTGCACAAAAAAGTTTTTGCATGGTTTTTGAGATCACCAAGATTCATACGAGCTGCTGGTGGGAGAGAAGGAAATCCATAACCTAAAAAAACCCCTTTGCACTCATTAACATTCTTAATTCTAATATTCAAGTCACCGTTGTCTACTGTTTGTCTAAAATCTTTGCTTATACTATCACTTTCTTGCTGTCATTATGTTACTTTGAGTATCTTCTGCAGTTGAATACAAAGCAAGGCCCTTCTGTCTAGTATCCTGTTTCACAATTGCCCTTTCTGAGTTGTTTTGTATGCAATTATAGTTCCAAATAAAAAAGAGAAGCTATTGTAACTCACTGAATTGCAGAAAATCCTCCCAATGTAATGACCAGATGTCTACCTTAGAACTGGTTAGATGCGTTGTCAGTAGAGATGAGGGCAAAACTTCTCACACTTTTTTCTTTGATCATAAATTTTAAGCAAACATTAAAAGAATTGCTCCATGTTGTCTGAAAAATCAGCATGTTAGTTTTCAGCAATGGAGTACCGGATCTTTAATGGCTGATCTTCAGTTAGTTAGATATCCCAAAATGCTTTTTACAGAGAAAATTTTAAGTTTGCATTTTTGGAGGAGTTACACTTAGACATAGTCCACCTGTTACATGCTTTGGTTTGGGAGGTTGCATCGTTTTTTAATCAACCCACTCTTCAATACAACTGACTTAACACTCTTAGGTATCTGAAAAACAGATTTTAGCCTATTTCAAAAGATTTCTTGCTTGACATTTATATCTAATGTTATTTTAGTCTAACCTTAAATCACAATTTTTTTTCTTCTTAACCTCTTTTGCTGAAGAGCAATAGTAATTTGCTTTTCTGAGAGAACCTTTCAGACTCCTATATAAACTAAAAATTATTTACTGTATTCACAATTATCCAATGTTCTGAAGCATAGCTAGTGTTCTATTTGCTTCTACCTTCCTACTCTTTCTTGTACAATTCATAGAATCATAGAACAGCACAGGTTGGAAGAGACCTTGAAAGACCATCTGGTCCAACTTCTTATGGGAAAGGGAGCCTAGATGAGATTAGCACCCTGTCCCATGGCATCTTGAAAACCTCTAGTGATGGGAACTCCACCGCATCCCTGTGAAGGTTGTTGTAGTGATTGATTGTTCTTACTATAGAAGAAAAGCAAAACAAAACCCAAAAGCTTTCTTCAAAACACTTTCTTATACTGAGATTAAACCTCTCCCATTGCCCCGCCTTCTCCATGTGTCTTCATCCTCTTGGCAGCCACCCTTTAAGTACTGAAATACTGTGGTGGGGTTTTCCCCGAGCCTTTTCTTCTCTAGAGACAGGTCTCCTGCAGTCTCTCTTCATAGGGCAGGTTCTCCAGCCTTTTGATCGTCTTCATGGCCTTACTTTAGACCCTCCCCCATCTGTCTACATCTTTCTTGAATTTTGAGGACCAGAACTGGACACAGTACTCCAGGTGCAGCCTGACAAGGTCTAAGGAGTGGGTTGATCACATCTTAGAGATCTCTGCTAGTAATGCCCCCACAGATGCAGCCCAAGGATCCACTTCACCTTTGTTCCAGCAGTGCCCTGCTGAATCACATTCAGCTTTTCCACCAGGATCCCCAAGTCCCTTTCAGCAGGCTGCTCCCCAGCCACACAGATCTCAGCCTGTACTGGGATATTTGGTTATCTCATCCCAGGTGCTGGACTTTGAGCTTGTCTTTGTTAAACTTCATCCTGTTCTTGCTGGCCCAGTCCTTGATTTAGCTTCATTTTTACCTGCTGATCCTAGGAAGGCAGGGAAGCAGATTTTGCAGAGGCTGTTCCAGTGGATGAAGCAGGAGAGAAAAGTCCCCAGGGTGCTGTCAATATGCACTTTCACACATGAACTGAGTACTGTGGGCTGTCTGCTAAAGGAACACATGTGGAACAATTTGTATTAGCGCTGCCTTTGTTCATTTAGTAACTCTTGCAGGAACACCAGTCTGGATGGGAGGATGGCCAAATCTTCGAAACAGCGGAAGTAAAAATTAACTATGCAAGGTGGATATGATATTCTAGAGAGGCATCCATGTCCTCCCAAAGTAACTGAGATTGCCAGAGTATAGAATGGCCACGTAGACTTAGCTGTCTTCAGAAAATAACTCCTGTTTGTGTCAAATTATTGAACTTTATCTGTAAACTTTAATGCAAAAGATGTTCTGTCTTCAGCAGATTTGCCTCCCTTACTGTGTGATTTATTTTTTTAAACAAACAAACAAAAATGTAAATGAGGCCATCATCAGGACATGTATTATTTTAAACCAAGTTGATGAACTCTTTTATTGCTATTGTGTACACACAAGTTATGAGTTTGTGATAAATCCCTTTGGGTTTTTTTTGCGGGCTAATTTAAATTTGTTTCTTTTCCTGTTGGCCTTTACGTTTTAGAATAATAAGGTCAAGGCTGCCTTATTAAACTAATAACTTTATTCTTAACAAACTCTTCTTGTTTTCGGCAGCCCTAATGTCTGGGGAAGGGAGAAGTTAGTATTACATGCTGGAATAGTGTTAGGCTATTGCTTCAGAACTACATTCTCTCTTCTGTTTTGCTTAAAGCATCTGAAGAGCCCAAATATAACTATATGTCTGTATATCTTCATCTTGGCCTAGATCTTCTGATTTACTAACTCTCACTGTGTACATTTTTCATCAGCAATTGACAGCTCTCCTGAAATTTCACACTAGGATAGCATTTCCATAGTTATTTCAATTCACAGACTGAAATGTATAGCAATTCTTTTGCTTTCTTGGCTGTACCAATGGCATCTTAGTGTGATAATACAAAGAAATCCCAACTTCTTTGAGTCCTGGGGTTAGTGCAAACCAGTTCTGCTTAATTATTTTTTGATTCACTGCAAAAAAAAAAAAATCTATGCAACGTTGCAAATATACAAGTGTAATCTGAATGTGTTTTGCTTCATTGTTTTTAGAGAGTTATAGCATATTAAAAAGAAAAATGGAAGCTTCCTTTGCTAAATAGGCATTTCAGACATCAGAATTGCTTACGCAGAACATGTTTTCTCTTCCATGAGTAGTATTTGTACGACTTGCATATGTTTTCTTTTTCTAAAATTCTAATCAATTTGCATACTTCTGTATCAAACTGTGGCAGTTAAAACATTGCTTGTATGAACAGTTTTGCTTGAAGTATTTGTGTACAAGATCTCTTTGTTTCTGCTCCACAGCCATTTTACCTACATTGCATGGGGGCAGGGAAGAGATTGCAGAATGGAATAAGCTTTCTGGAGTTTGAATCCAGGTCACTTGGCTAGCTTCCACGAGCTAGGCAATAATAGGCACACTGGCTGCTTTCCCTTTTTCATTCTTTCTTTTCCAATGATCTGAAACCTAAGGAGAGAAAACTAGCAAGTGGAATTACTCTGAATAAAATGAAAATGTTTCTAGGAATGTACTCATTCTTTCCATTCTAAACTTTCTCTCAAGAAGCTAGAATATAGTTCTTTGTGTCTCTACTACTGCTAACTTGCTTTAATATTTTTTTGTGTACTTTCTTTTCTTTGGTAGAAGGAAACCAAAAGTATTACAAACTTTGATGAATCTCATAACATTAAAGCTCTTGTTTCATGTGTGGAGATAAATGTTTCTATTATAGCAAGCCAGAAACCATATAGATTAGATATTTCATTCTGCTAACCCAAAACATGATAGCAATGTGATATGGACTGCATATAGTGTGATCTAATCATCAATGTGCTATGTCTTACAGAAGATGCAGACTACAGTGCCTTTGGTACAGATACTATGACAAGGAAGAAAAATGTCTTATCAAATGTGTTACGTCCGGATAATCACAAGAAGAAACCACACATCGTCATTAGCATGCCACAAGACTTCAGACCAGTGTCTTCTATTATAGATGTAGATATTCTTCCAGAAACCCATCGTAGGGTACGACTTTACAAATACGGAACTGACAAACCCCTTGGATTCTATATACGAGATGGCTCTAGTGTCAGAGTAACACCACATGGATTAGAGAAAGTTCCGGGGATTTTCATATCTAGGCTTGTCCCTGGAGGTCTGGCTCAAAGCACAGGCTTGCTGGCTGTCAATGATGAAGTACTAGAGGTGAATGGAATAGAGGTTTCAGGAAAAAGCCTTGATCAGGTTACAGACATGATGATTGCAAACAGCCGTAACCTGATCATTACAGTAAGACCAGCAAACCAGAGAAATAATGTTGTGAGGAACAGTCGGACTTCTGGCAGCTCCGGTCAGTCTACTGAATCTAGCCTTCCAAGTAGCACGCCGAATATTTTAGCAAATTTATTGCCAGGAGACGAGGAGAGCGATGAAGAGGACATTATTATTGAAGATAGTGGTGATCCACAGCAGATTCCGAAAGCCGTGCCTCCCAGCGAAAGCCTAGAATCGTTGACACAAATTGAACTCCTTCATGAGTCAACTCAAAATGGATTCCTACTTTCCAGCGAGATGAACTTGAATCATTCAGCAGGCAGCATGAGCATGGAATATGAAGTACAAGGTCCAGATCATAAATCATTAGAAGAAGATGGAACTATAATAACACTATGAAATTACATTGGTGTACGTTGTATGAAGGATGCCATACATGTTTTAATTTGGCTTAATATGTAATACATTTTATACCTCTCATCTACCGAGCACTGCAGTTAGATTAAAAGGAGGGAAAAAAGTAAACACAAGAAGTTCAAAATTATGTAAGTTGACTAACTTTAGTTAATTCTGCACTTCAGTGTAAATACTTCACAAAGATGGAACATAATTGATGAATGACCGAAATTGGATGAGGAAAATTTAAATAGAAAATGAAGGATAGCTGAGATGGCTGTGAGCTTTCTTTTAAAGGTACTTGATTTTTATATATTTTTAATGCAGAGTACTACTGGTTCTATAGAAGTAAACTTCCATTATTGTGTCGGGTTGACTGTCTAATGTACTGTGGTTTCATGTTCATCTGAAATGCTGTTTATGTGTGATGGAGCTGCTGTAGCCACTTCATTCCTGTTCAGGACTGTTGTTTAGCTGGTAGAGCTGTTTGTGTGGCTCTGTGTATGAGGAAACTGAAAAATAAGCAGGAGGTGGTGTGGGAAGAGATATTTGTGGTTGGTCTAGTTCCCTGACTGACACCTTGAGCAATAGGGATATGTGATAGTGGTCAGCAATTCGACAACAGTCAGGGTTTGAAGGTGGGGGCTTCTGAAGTTGACTGTTCCTTTGTAAGTGAACGTGCAACCACAGGCTCATTAGTCATGCACCTTTACTGGCTTTAGTGGCAAGGTAAGCTTATTTTTAATGACTGATTTTTAAATTCAAATGTGAAAGGTCTTAACACTTATACATCAAAGACCTGTTCTCATTTTAGTCTGTAATATTTAAGGATATCATCTGATTTAGTTGCTAATCCCAGTAAATTTCAAAGAAATCAAATGTAAACTTAATGGAAATAATATAATCTATGTTAAAATCGCAGTCCTAGTAGAAGCTGTAAAGGTTTCTACTAGCAAAGGTTTGTTGTAGTGAGTCTGAATTATGTAAAAAGTGACTTTCTTCAAACCTGAACAAGTTAGAACATCTTAAATTAATAGCAATCCCTGGATTAAAAAGAAAAAGAGTTTTAAATCAGAATGAGGCTTTAATAGAACTTGCTTGGGCCATGTGATATTAAATTATTTGTTATAAAGAACTAAACTGTAAATGCTGATCTTTCTGTGTACCACTGGCTGGGTATTTTGAATATTACAAAGTTGCTATATGTAAAACAAAATACTGATGACAAGTCCTGATACTGCAAGTGCATAAGTATGCATGTAATCAGCTGCAAACTTACTAGGAGAATTGCGGGGAGAGGTTTGTAGCATTATTTTTACCCTTTCCCTTTTTAGTATCTCCTGCTTTACCACTTTGGCACTCAGTTCCCAACCTGATCCTTCTCTGGGAACAGAAGGTGTTGCAGGAAAATGAGATGGGGACTAACAGGATCGTGGAGAAGGATGGATGGATCTTCTCACTGGGGGATCCAGTAGTCTATGTCAACCTCTAGGAAGGAAGTAGGATGCTACCTGTTCTGTACTGGGGTACTGTGCTTAGTCTGGGTTCTTAGAAGCATGTTCTACACTGTAGGGAGATATGATGAGCAGGAAAGGAGACTAACCCCTTTCTCTTTCCTTCATTCTATCTTGAGGAAACATCTACCTCTGGTAACTTTACTAATAAGAGACTAACCATAAGTTTAGTGTTAAGGCAACTGTAAAAGTCTGTATAGGATATCAGAGGCTAAAACTTCTGTAATGATGTAAGCAAAATTGCTTCAGAAATTACTGCTGTTTAATTTTACTAAATGCAAGTCTTAAATTCATATCATGAACAGTGCTATTTTCAAGCCTCCAATCCCTTGGAGTTCAAATCTCATAGATGTCAGGAAAGGTATCCATGACCATTTTGATTTATGGAGAGTTAGGATAACAGACAATGGTACTCTGCAAATACAGGTTAGAGTTCTGCTGCGTCAGATTTATTTATGGTTTCTTCAGCGTACATATGGAGACACCCTGGAATGTTTTCCAACATGAGCAAGAATTTTGAAGTGTGTTACTTATTTCGTTAGTAATTATTAAAAAATGAAGTAACTACATCCACTTAGTGTGAAATGAGGAAAACAAGTGCTTGTTCTGCAACATGTAGACTTTAAATATACATGTTTTCTGTCAGTGCTGCTCTACACTTCCTTTATTTAAGGACAATTGTTTACTTTTAAATGTCTTTTTTTTTTTTCCTTTATCAAAGACTTTCCTTCCTGTATGAAATCATCAGTGGAGGGTGACTTTCACTTATTATGCTAGTTTGCACTTATGTGCCTTTTGTTTACTTGAATGTATTGTGAATAATCAAAGGAATAAAGGCACTTGGATGAGAAGAGAAATGAAGTCCACAGATACAGAAAATGAACTGGTAGTGCACTTAATACAGGTGTAGTGTTTCCATTCAGTGGAAATACATAATGGGTCTAATGTGGTATGTTAGTATTTTGCAGCTTGGATAATAGCTTTGAGCTATTAACTGACACAGGAGGGCTGAGTCTGAGAAAGCCAGTGTTGCAAGGGAGCTTATTGCTTAGGTGGAAACACCCAAGGTTAGCGTGCTGCCAAATTCTGTGTTACCTAATCTGTACTTGTAACAGATGCATGAATATTTTGACTGTATATGCCAGTATTATGGACTTGTAGGAATTTAACTAGAGTCCTACTCTAAATTGCATGAGAATTCATCTCTTGGGACCTTTCCTGCAAACTGATTAATCTAAACGGGAGATAATACTATTTGACAAACATCACGTTATTTTACAGAGATCTGGTAACATATATTAAAACTAAGCATTTAGGACTTGATAAAAATATTAAAGAATAAACCTAAAAATGAGTTTTTAAAAGTGTATATTTAGAGTTACTATGACAGACTGCACAGCATGTAATTGCTTAATGCTGCAGTTACCATAAAGTTTCTAAAGTTCTTCCATATCTTACTAATGCATACAATGTTAATTACAAAATATTTTAAAATTGTTACTTCAGGATGATCAACGGTTGATTATGAGTGGCTAAACTTAATTTTATATATAAATGATACTGGTGTTCAGTATAAGTTTTTTTAAAATATGCTGATATTGTTAGCCTTTCATTCACTACCTCCTAAATTTTTAACATCTTTATAATTTCCTCCCTGGAAGAAAATACTTAAAGGCTTGACTGTTTTATATAGATTTTATCTTTAGCTAAAAAGAAAAAATCCAAAAGTCATAGTGAGGATGCTACGCATGATTGACAATATTATGCTGCTATTAATGTAATCTTTGTGTATTAAGTATCCTGTATATGTAAATTGTATTTTCAATCCAGATTTTATAAATTAATTTATAATTATCCAAATTATTTCGGAATGGAAAACTAAAATTCCTTTGACTTGTGTTATATGTTGTGTACATGCACAGTGGGGGGACAATTCATTCTTTACTTGTGACTGGGAGATTTAAGTGCACCTTAATAGAAAAAAAAATTCTTAATAGAATTAAGATGCATTTACTTTAAAGTTCTGCTATGGTACTGGATAAGTCAAGCCTAACTGTGAATCATTTTTTTTTTATTTCCACAGCTGGATTAAATTTAGGACAATGTTCTCACAAGCTGTCTTTAACATGTGTATTTTTGTGAATACTATGTATTTTCTAATTAAATTTTACTTGCAATGTGATTTTTACATGAATGAACTTGTTTAAAATGTCAAATATCAGTATTTTTCTTACAACTTTAATGTATAATGTACATTGGTATCTCACTGAATGAAGATTGATTTTACAAAATCAAGCTAGATGTAGTTGTATATTAGTCTTATATTTTTACAGACTGGAATAATAAATGGACACAGAAATAAAATGGTTTTTTTCTCAATTACTTTGTCAAATAAGTGAAAATGAGGAAGAATGTATCCTCTACTTTCACGCTTGAGAGTAAGATGGGCTTCATTTTTAATTTTTTTCTCTTGGGCAGGTAAGTGGATTCTATTTTCATAGCAGTCTTAAACGTTTGCTGCTTCTGCTGCCTTCTCTGGAGCAAACCTCTGAACATGGAAAGCATGCAAAGGTTCAGAATGTTTGTCCTTTGGTCCTGCTGACTAACTTGTGATGTGCTTGTTACCATAGTAGCTGCAAATAAAGACTCTTACATTGTATCGCTTGCTTGAGGAGTACTCATAGTAAAGTTCAGGTCATGAGGCCTGGGAGATGGTTCCTCATCCTCCGTCACCGTTGTCAAGTGCTGCTGGTGCTGTGGTTTTCACTGTTACTGTAAGTATTTGGTATAACCATCTGTATTAAAGTTTTAACTTAAACCCATTCCACTTGCAAGTGTTTTCTCCCATATCTAATGCCTTGGCAGCCCTTGTAAACATTTACCTAGTGACAAAAGACTTGAGTTTTGTTTAGCGCTTTTGTGACTGCCGGTCTTGGGGTCAATCATATGACTTCTATTCTGTGCCTTCCTTCATGTATGCGTGACTAGTTTCATTTGTATGCTTCAGTACTCTTCATACTTGCCTATGTAGCTATGGGAAGGTGACAGAAAGACTGAGAACAGCATTACAGTATCTTAATATCGGTATTCAACTGAAAGAGCCCAGTCTGCTTCATCTTTGTACTCTAGTCTGTATGTCTGGTAGCTGGAAGCAATTTCTTTGCTTTGCACAGAACCTGATGGCTCACTCCTTTCCTAAGGGAATGCTGAAATTGGTATGGTATTCTTGGAATGGTGTGAGCTTTAAAAATTCATCCTGTCTGTATTAAAATTTAGATGTAGTATTTTTTCCAACTTCAAAACTTCTATCTGAATGCATATAGCTCTGAAACTGGGAGAGATTTCCAAGTTATTGACTCTTCTTTAACACGTGAATTGTGGGAGCAAGTAACTTTCTAGTATTGTAGTGAAATTTTTCAAGTGTTGAAAATTTTGAATAAACAGATATGAAAAAATGAGAGGATCAAAATCTGAAGGATTGCAGACATATTGCAAAATTAAACCATAAAATGGCAAACAATTCAGTGTAGGTTAAATGTGCACATGTTGGGAAACAATTTGTCTTCTGCATATGCAATGGTGAATGCTGAGCAGACTTGCTTCTCATCCTGACCTATGTCATCTGCATTATAGCATATTTTTAGTATAACAAAACTGAGTAGTAGAGGACTGATCAGCCTGAGAAAGATGGTAAAAAGCAATGAAGCTATGTGCAAACAGTTTTGTATGAGGAAATTAAATATCATCAGATAGATTGAAAAGGTAAAATTGACTATAATTTCCACTTATCAGCTCTGAGTTATTTGATTCGTAGTAAATTTTATCTCCCTAATTAGTAACTTTTAAGGAGGCCAAAAACATACTGAATCTGGAGGACACCGTTTCATGTGAGGTATGCTTCCACAGCATTAGTCAGGTGTTGACCCGAACTCTCTGTAAATGCATCTGCTCGAGTGTTCCCTGGCCAGGGACTGACCCTGAGCGTGGCGGGTACTTTCACTGAGGCAGGACCTGCTCTTTGCAGCAAGAACACAGACTGCTTAGCTAGACCATTAGTATCCATTAATGTTTCTGTGCCTTCCAGCAAGCTTCCACATATGAGAGCATTTGTCCTAAGTAAAATGCCCTAAGAATCAAGGGGGTGGGTTATTGCAGGAGCAAAGACTAAGGAACATGTCCTCAGGAATGCATGTATCTATGAGGATAACAAGCTTTAGGTTGGACAAGAACTGAGAGAGTAGACTAATGCTAATATTGACCTGGACTGAATCTGTAGTACTGAGGCATGGTACAGAAGCTAATCTGGGACACTTTAAAGGAGTAAAACTAAAATGTATACTCATGCAGGTCAGCAACGCTATTTCTACAAATCACTATAATCCCTGCTGGCAGTTTTACAATTAGTTATTTAGTTTAGGAAAGGATGATTGTAACTTTACTGCTGCCTCCTTGAGGAAGGAATGCAATTGTTAAATACCATACAATAACATCTGTCCTTTAACTGCCAGCAGTACTTCACTTTTACCAAGATGAGCTCTTAACAAGGTGTTAGGACTTCAGTTATTTTATGAAATTGAAAATTCATGTATGGATGCAGATACAAAAACTTTCCAGGATTTTCATAGGTAATCAGTTGAAAATCCTCTTCTTGGTATACCAACAGGATAAAGATTTAGACTAGTACTAAATACCTCTCTGAAATTTTCTTGTTATCTTAAAACTAGCTGTGACATTCTAGGTTTCAGACTTGCCTGAATTACTTCTGAACGTCTTCCTTGCAATACAAGTATCAATATTCAGATACTATTATGTAGTAGTTGCATAAGGTAATGCTAGAGAGGAACAATCAGCTTCAAGGTAGCTTCATAAATGGTTTCTAATACTAGCATAAGGAAAAAATGTGTTGGACAGTAACAATATTGTTCTTGGATGCTGTAGAAGTATGCAAGAAATGTTACAGCTGGTTCTTGGAGAGGCAAGATTGTAGCCAAGATTTGAGAATTCAAATTCCTTGTACAGCTATGATAGATCACTTGTGTACTTTCCCTCTCAAATAGGAGATAAATTTGTCTCTGTGGACTTAGTGTAGTATGCTTGATTTTAAAAGTGCTTTAGAAATATGAAGCATAAAGCGATTTGAAGAAGTGCTCTGCAATTTAACCAGCATTTCTTATTACAGCAATTCAGAAGTGTTGCTAATAAGATATCATTTCCTGTCCTTCCAATTAACATTCCTTCCTACTTGAACTACCATTTTATTACCTGAGTATAAGGAAATACCTTGCATTTCATCAGTGTGAAAGACTTCTATCAGGCCCTGTGATGTTTTGCTTAAGAAATTATATAAGAGCATACTTATTGTCCCCATGTTTGCTTTCCACAGGAGAACATGGTTCTTTGTAGTGCAGTGACTTCAGAATGCTTTCTTTTGAGCACCTGATAATACCTAGTTATTGATATGATACTGATTTTTTTTTTTTTGTAGTAATAGAAGTGATGGCAATACTCAGAAACAAGGAACAGAGTTTGAGGGACAGATGAGAACAGCAGATGATGTAAAAGGAGCTAGACAAGGTAGGGATATCATCCAGTACAGGGGTCCATGCTTGTATAAAAAACATTTGTGTGGTTACAGCAGACAAAGCTGATATGTATCATAAACTGGCATGTCTAGGTCAGTCTGAAAATAAGTGGCCTAGTTATTCACAGCTGCGAGACAAGACTAAAAACTAGGAAGCAAATAGGAGATATGCTAATGAAGGAGGTAAGAGTCCCAGCATATTGCAGAAAGGAATACTTAATTTTGCAATAGGCAAAATTTTGTCTATTAAGCTGTATAAGCTGGTCAAATAAAAGATACTATCTCTATCTGCAAGCCTGGCCTTTCTTCAGGCCCTCATAGCTGTAACAATAACCTCTAGGCACAGAAAGGGTATTCCTGCTGGGAGACACTGGAATTCCTACAAGGCCCTTACCTTTTTTTTCTTTTCCACTTTGCTATTGTTCTGGATATTGTGGACCCAGTAAGAAAAGTGAGATTCTCATCTTTCTGTTGGAGGATGCAAAGGATTTGGATTTTTTAAAACTCTGAGGAGAAAGTATTGAATACGTAAACAGATTTCTTTGACTTTCTGAATGCTACCTAAGGTTATGTAAAATGCTTGGACTTGTAATTCAGAAATTTTAAATCCTAATAGCTTAAATCTCCTAATAACCTTGTTAAGTCTGCCCTTCATACTCTTTCTATCCTGTACTGTAAAATGAGAAAAGTAGATATATTTTGCAAAATTATGAGTAAATGAGCTAAAACTTAAAACTGTGCAAGTAGGTTTTTTGCATTATCTGGTGCAACTTTCCCTGGTAGAAACACTTTTTTCAATGATATAGAATACAAACCCTTGGGGTCTACAGCATAAATAGTACCTGAGTGTTGTTAACTCTGCAACTACACTGCAAGGAAGGTGCCCAGACCTGGAGAGCTTCAATTGAAACGAGAAATAAAGTGCCCGGAGAGGCAATGTGTTTGTCTTCTGTGCAGTGCTGATCAGTGGAAGGACCAAGTTTTGCAAATACCTTACAGTTTTTCAGATAAGAGGTTTTTAGACACCACAAGTGTAGCATAAAGGGGTCGGTCTGGTGCTATTGTCAGGATGACATGGACTAAATTCAGCTCACTGTGTCTGTCCCTACTCTTGTGAAAAGATTTGAGGAAACCCTGCAACATATTAGTTCTGTCTTCTGTTGCTTCAAGTACCTTTTCAAGGCTGGCTGCTTTGATCTCTGCAAAACACAGACTATAGATTTGGCTTTTTCTTATGAATGCTAAACTGAATTTAAATTTCTGCCATTATTAAGCAATAATTTGGTCTTAACCAAAGCCAAGAAAAGCTTTGGATGACAGTACAGACCTGTTGTGGCCTTCTGTTCTGCAAGCACTCAAAGTAGTTTTATATAGTATAAAATGTTAAATTATCTAATGTCTCAAACTGATTAGTGACAAATACTGCATATTGCTTTATGTCCCTGCTACTATAGAGTCCACCTGACCTTAGTATGAGTCTTCATACTCATACATATATGGGCTATACTTCTTTTGAGGGCAGGCTGCTTCTGAGCTTTTCCAACTGAGAATATTGCTTGTTATTGAGAAGCAGAGTTACTGAGAAATCCTCCCCCTGTTCTATTTACAAATCCTTGACTCATCATTAGTTACCAAGTAGGTCCTGGTTCCTGCTTAGAGCAGGAAGAACAACTAACAAACTGAGAACAGACGGTTATTTTTGTCTCAAATCTAACTGTTGTCTTGATCATCTGGCCTTCTCTAAAATGTCGCTTTGGTTTAAGAGTGTGTTTTAAAGGAGCCTAATACAAGGAAGAGCATCTTCTGTAGTGACGAGGCATCCAAGAAGAGTCGCTAACCACAGTTTTCCTCAGGGAGTCAGTCTCTTGCAACTCCATCCTTGGGGAGAAGGCCAGGATGTTGTTGTGACTTGGGCACTGTGTCAGAAGTTCTTCTCTGCCTGATATAAAATTGACTATCTCTAAGGTCAAGTCATTTGAATATGTTGCAAACAGGGCAGAGAGAAATTCTGAGCACTGTAAAGTTGCGTTTTCAGCTGCATTTAATTTCCCAGTTATTAAAAAGCAGACATTGAGCCTAGCGCATCCGCTCAGCGAGTATCTGGGCCTCTGTCCTCTAGGCTGCAGTACAGGCTTGTTAAAGCGCAACGCTCTGAGGAAAGCTAAATGTCGCAGTGGCAAAGGAAAGTGTCGGGGAGGCGCCGTGGCTTTGCTGGGCGCCGCTTTTCTCCGCTCTCCGGCCGGCGGCGGGGCTGCCCCGGCGCTCCCCAGCCGCGCGGCCGCCGTGGAGCGGGGGCGGCGGCCTCAGCGCGGGGCTTCGCGGCGGCCTGGCGCCGCTAGGGGGAGCGCGCGGCCCGCGGCGGGCGGGAAGCGCTGAGGGCGGGGAGGAGCGGCGCGGAGCGGCCGCCGGGGGCGGAGCGGCGGCGGCCGGGAGCGCAGCCGGGGACCGGCGGCCAGCTGCCGCGGAGGTGATGCTGCGGCCGGAGGGACCGCGGGCGGGGGCTGAGGAGAGCGGGGCTCGGCGGCTCGCCCGCTGCCTGACCCCTCCGCCTGGGGAAGAGGTAGGTGGGGGGGGGTGCTGCCCCGGCCCGGGGGCGGTCCGTCAGCTGGGGAGCGAGGGGCGGGCTGGCGGTGCATCGGTAACGGCCGTGGGGGGCGGTTGAGGAGCGGGGGGGGGGGGGGGGGGGGGGGGAGTCCCTGAGGCAAAGGGCGGCGGGTGGGGGCGGATCAGCCCCCGGGCCCGGATCAGCCCCCGGGCCCGGGGAACACTCACCTCCGCTCGCTCGTCCCCGCCGCCCCGCGAGAGGCTGCCGGGGACCCGCTTCCCCCGGCCGGTGGGTGCACCGGCAGCATCCGGGGCCGTCCGGCCCCTCTTCCCTCAGCCCCGCTGGGCCGGGCGCCGGCCTGGGCAGGGACGTGCGAGGCGCTCCCCTCCTGCCCGGCCCCGGGCTCGCCCGCTGCTCGTGATGCTCGTCTTGGTTTTGGAGAGAGCGGGGTGTTTGCGTGGTTTGCGTTCCCTCTGGCAGGGGAGAGCCTAGTCTTCAGGTGTCCCCTGTTCGGGATGCAGTGCTGGATCAAGTTGAGCTACTGCCGAGTTCCTGAATAGCTGAATAACTGTTCCGTGACTGTGCCTGCGGCTGCTACTCTTATTTGTTTTTTGTGGAACCCAGGTCTGCTGGTGACTGTAAAGTCTGGCTCAGAGCGCTGATACGATTAAGTGGAATGATGCATGGTTTGAGGATCTTAGGTGCGGTTAGTTACCTGAGTCTGTTTAGCTCAATCAAGATGGTAACAGTGGTGATCTTGCATAGCACTGTCACCAACCTGGTAACAGATAGGGGACGCTTGAGACTCCTGAAGGCAAAGAAGGAGGGCCTCAAGCTGCACTTCCTCGGCTAGAACACTCCCCCACACACCCCCAAGAATGATCGGAAGGCTACAAAAGCTGAAGTAGAGACCACCTGGGAGTATCCTCCTTTCTGACCTGTAGGTAGTTTCTATCCCACTTGATCCTGCTGGTGATGTAAAGTGAATAACATTCTCCTTGGGCAGATGATTGAAAATTTTCTCTTGTTAAGATAAAAGAATTCCTAAACCAGTCTTTAAAACAGCTTTCCCTCACCCCCTTCCTTCATTCTGTCAATAAAATGTTGATGTTATTTTTGTCTCTCAGAAGAAAAAAACCAAAACAAAACAAAAAAAAAGAAACAAGAACACTCTGTTTAAGTTTCATTATTCAGAGAAATTTTTTCCTATGCCTTTCCTTTGACATCATCACTCCATCAATTTAATCTCTCCATATGTGGTTATCTATGATTTGCAGTAAATCAGACACACACATCCAAATCTTGGGATCTTTGTTTTGTTTTTCTGTTCACCATTTTCAAGGAGATGATATAATGCTTTGTTCATGATACCCACATAATTTACATGTGGTTAAACCACTGACAGCTTTTGTCTTACTTCTGGATTAAGAGCTACTTTATTAGTCATCTACACATCTATAGTGGGCCAGAAACAAGTATTGTTAATGTTATTAACAATTACAAAAATTAATTTTCATTCTTGATTAAGATGACATTGTAAAGTGAACTACTTAGTAGAGAATAAGTTTCATTAAAGTCTTAGTTCATGTCAGCTGGATCCTGTTGGTTTTATCAAGTGCCACTCATACTGGTGTTAAATAAGAAATGAAGATCTGCCAAATAATAAAACAAGTTTCCTGTATAGTGTTGTATGGCAGGCTATGTATTTTTGTAACTGAGTGCCAAGCCTGTTAGTTCTTAAAGGAATACAGAAACAACTTGTGTTCTTTGCTACTTGCAAGTCATTCTGTTCCCTTCAGGCATTTTCAGCTGAAATTAAACACTTGTTTTAATACTCATCTCTCTTGATTCTTGTACATATGGGTAGCTTGCTCAAAGTAGCAATATAATTTAACTATTTTTCTACTTGGGTATTTAATCACAGCTTTTGTGGAAGCATCTTAAGTGTTTCTTCCTGTGGGCCTTGCATTGCTAGCTCAGCTCTGTCACATATCACAGGGTTGTGAAAGTCAGAATGAGGGTTTTCAGTTCCTTTTCACAAAGAGTTGCCTTAGTTTTGCATTTTTAAAATTTTGTAATTAGCAATAACAATTTCATGTAGCATATAACTCCTAATTTTCATTGCAATTTTTAATTTTTTGTAGTAGTTGTAGCAAATGAGACTATAATGATGAATGCAAAATAAGATATTTGTATAGTCCAGTAGAAGATTTTGCTAGGTGAACGCTTTCAAATGTATGCTGCATGACATAATATTATTCTGCCTGATTTGAATGTATCCTGTAAATAGCTGTGAAATACTTCAGTTTTACTATTTAAGTACACTTGCCATTCTACTCTTTCTGTTTCCCTATATACACTGACTGTTTTCCCTTTGTAGTTTTTTTTTTTCAGTATTGTGAAGCTGGCATAGGAGGATATCATACTGAAGAACCTCTTAATTTTCAGCAATATTGAAATGTTTCTGCTGGAGTCCCTAATGTTATAAAGAGCTGTGTGGTTTTCTGGTTTGGCTATTTTTAAAGTTTTCTGTGCCTACCTTTTCATCTTAATGACATGCTAGGAGAGCACTTCAACAAAGGCAGCCCAACTTTTTGAGTGAAAGTGGAAGGCTTTTTGGAAAACTTTGTAGAAGAGATTCAGTGCTGAATTTTATTTTTTCACGTTCCTTGATGAAGTGTGATAAGTTAGAATACTATATTCATGGTTTCTGGGCCTGAACAGTTGATGATATAAAATACATGACCCAAATCTTTTTATCAAGGTGGAAGCTTGGTATTAAAAAAAAAAAAAAAAAAAAAAGAATCCTTGGGAAAAGCAGATGAATTGTTATAAGGTTGAATGGGAGCATAATGCTGAGGCAAAATGAAAGAAGGAGTGGTGGTAGGAGTTACAAAAGCTTACCTTATCCTGGGCTTGGAGTAAAGAGGGAGGAGAAGGATGTTGAGAAACAAAGACCTTTAAAGGGAAGTGGTGAAAAAGGGATATTACTGTGGGTACAGTATATACTGCATAAAAGAAAGTCTGAAAGGAAAGCTAACCTCAACACTAGTCTGCGTTTTTTCCCTCCAAATTACAAAATGAAGTAATGGTTTTAATTTTGTTCTGTTTTAGTTTCTTTCCATAAATAAGCAGGAGAAACAATAGTGGATATTATGGGAACATTAAAATGCCATCTGGAAGTGGTGCTGTTGTGCCTTTGGCTAAAGTTTCATGATAAGTTAACACTGCTATTGAAAGATTCAATGTGTCTCTTCCTCTCATTACCTGATTTCTTTGTCAGTGCTAGCCTTTACATGGCTGTGTAATAAATTGAGTCAAAGAGCTGATCTGAGCTAAAATAATATGGCAAGGAAATTAACTATTAGTTTTCAATCCAGAACAATTCCACTGTGAATATCTATCCTCTCATGTGCAAAGGTGGTTAGCTTTAGGGGCGTGAGTGGTAGAAAAGGGTAGACTACTTTTATTGCCAATGCCAGCTTATATAATTTTAAAGTGATGGTGAAATTAGTCTTAACTAAGAAACACTTGTCACCCCATATTTTCATCATAGTTTTGAAATGTGTGCAATGGGTTTGAGTTCAGATCTTAATGATAAATATACAGTGAGTTCTATAATCACCTGGAAGGAGCTTGTATGGTCTGTTTAGTAAGTACCTAATTACAGATGATGGTAAATATATTGTTGGTACTGCAATTTGCAACAGGCGCCTCTTAACCATTTTGGAAGGTGTCTTAAGTACTTTGAGCCCTCAGAATGTTGTTTTTCTCTTTTGCAATTCATATTGAACTGCTAAGTATTTGCAGTTGAGTCCTCTTTAAACGTAGTATTTTGGCTTTTTTTATGTCTAGTGTGCTTTATAGTAGAATGCCTTGAAGAAATAGTTAAGTGGTTGTTTGCATATATTTTCTGTTGTTTCTTACTATTGTTGTCTTCTGTTATGTTTCAGGCTATGTAACACTCATTAGAGAAAAGATTAAGGACTGTGAATCTGATTTGAATTAACCTATTCTCTGTCGTGTCAATAAACTTTGTTTCTGGCTTCTAACACATGCTACTTCAATGTTTGAATCTCTGGGAATATTATGAATGCAAGATGTTCATGGTAGATACTAGAAGGGTTAATAATGTCACCACGCTACCTGCCTGAAGCATGTCTGCAAGTTTAGTCAGAGCAGGATGATAACTTGTACACCTAATGCAACTTCTTTAGATGGATGTTTCTTTAATGCATTATCTGTCAAATTAGTGGAATTTACACCTGCTTTACAGTCATGCATTAAATGATTGCTACCATTAAGCAGCCTTTTCAAAGCTGTAAGTTTGATAGCAGTTTTGGACTATCTCGTTAAGCCAATTGTGCTTGTCCAGAACATGTGGCTACGTTAGTGGCTTTGGGCCTGTGAAGCTGCCTCTGCACAGATTTGCCAAGAAATGTTGGGAGTTTGATAGAATTGTTCTGTAGGCCATCTGATGCTTGAACCACCTACTGAGATAGCTCTGCTATAAAACACTTTGAAAAGCCAGCAATTATGTTTCTCTGCCGTATGAAGGCTTCAAGAAATCAGACTCAGATTCGATGCTTAAAAGTTTTTCACTAATTAAATGTATTATAGTAGCATGAAATCACTGAGATCTTTCTTTTTTGAAAAGAGTATATTTTTCTGTTGTTTAGCAGTGATCTTTCCAGAGTTAGCCTATGTGCAGTGGGGGAGGTGAAATTAGATGGGGAAATTCTGATCCTTTATTTAAGCATGCAAAGGAGCAGCAGAAGGAAAACAGCTTTTCCACACAGAAATCTTTACCTCATATAGACATGGAACAGATTGTTAGGGGATGTAAACTCATGTTAGCACCACTGAAATCCATGCATTGATTTACAGCATTTATGCATCCCTCCTGATAAACCTGTGGAGTATAATGTGTCTTGATGTTTCTTCTGTCTAGATATGTACACAAAGAAGAGGGTAGGTTTTAAATCTTGTATAGGTGAAATTACCATGTGAATATATGATAGTTTATGCCACCACGGAGACTTCACACAGGGTTTGTGAGACACAAGCATCTTAAGAAAAAACCTTAGTAGGCTGACAGGTGTGGTCACTAAGCTGATGAAGATGCCAGCTGCTAACAGTTTCTTGGAGACAATACATACCAGTCTTAGCTCAGTACTGCTCTAGCATAGTTGCAGAGCTTTTGGGCCAAGCTGGGTCACATTCCTGCTACTCAGAGCATGGCCTGAGTTCATATCTGCATTCTACTGAATAGGTATTCATCCTCAGCCCGCATTATGTCCTACATACATACACGTTTGCCCTTGTGAGAACAGCCACTATTTCTTCCGTGTGCTTAAGGCTTTTTTTGGTTGTTCTATTCTCTTTGTGATAGCATAATTTGTTCCTTCTAGTTTTTGCATCATTGTCTTGGAAGTGATTAGGAGTTGAGTCTTCCCCAGCTTGTATGATTACAGTCCTGGAATAGTACACACTTTACATGGTGGATTTAGTCTCCTGGGTTCATGTGATTGCTCCCTGGATGACTTCTGGCAGCCTTTTCACAACACCCTTCTATAGTTACGCGTGTACTTTGTTGCCCCACTACTAACTTCTGTTTCTCTTTTGATCCTCTTCTTTGGTTATTTGGTAAAAGCCTTTTGCCTTCCCTATTGCCATCTTGGTGTTGGTGCAGAAGCTATACCCAGAAGTACCTCCATACCTGAAATAGTTCCCTGGTTTTGTTGCAGAACATCATTCTGTTGCAGAAGTTGACTGCAAATAGGTCTGCAGAGGCATAACAACACCTCCTTTGATCTGGGAAGGTGACTCAGGCTCTGTAGAGAACAATGTTTGCTCCATTTATGTGTAATAGGTCTTATAAAGTGAAAGAGGAGTTGCATGCCAGTGACCATCTTCAGTCCATGCAAAGTACAACCTTTGGCATAAACTTATATGTATGCTGCTCTTAACATTTGCTTCAGTCTAAATCAAGAGTGTAGTATTTTCCATTTTACCCCTTGCTGACAAAGTGCATTTGTCTTCTTACCTATTCTTTATCTTCTAGCATCCTTTCTTCTATCTAATGCTTTTACATGATAGCAAGTCCCTTTGCCATATTGTTCCAGACAAGAGTGATTGTACCTGTTTTGGGAGGTCCTTGGGCACTTAAAAATGGCAAAAAAAAATGCTGGAGTTAGCCCAACTGTTGGATTGATAACTACAGTTTGAATTTCAGAGACAACTCAGGTTTCCTTGGTTTTATTACCAGGTAAAAGGATAATAAACTTTATTTAGGAATGAGATCATTCATTACAGCCCAGATGAAAAATGATAAAGAGGTCTGCTAAGGCAACTCATGCTCTTGTTCTGATTTTACAATGACCGTTTAAGCAAAGTAGCCCCAACAAATGGGACAACTGCCTTTTTTTTTTTTTTTTAATCCATCAGTTTAATTTAATTTTGGAAAAAAATGAGATGTGATTACAATTGGAGAATAGATTCTGGATTTTAAAAATAATTTAAATTACAGTGCAAATGGAGGATTTGGGGTGACCTTTTAATTTTACTGATTTCCTTTTCCTGTATTTGAACTCTGATTAATCCATTTGTTTTTAAAAATATGTTAAGAATAGAAGGGGTTTTTCTTGTAGTTGCAATTCTTTACTGGGATTTTGTGAACATCAGTCTAACTCTAAACTTCAGTTAAGAGTGAGAGTCTATCAGCTTTTGTCCTCTGCAGATGCGGGAATGCCTGGGCTCTTGGCTTTAGCTGTTGAGGATTTTTCTGGGGTTCTGAAGATGGGCTCCTTTTCTGATATGGGAGAAGCCTTTATTTTCTTGTAGGTATTTGCTAATGGGTTGGGTTTTCTGGAAGTTTAACAATTTCAGTGAATAATGTGGGCTGTAACTTCAAATTGACTTATAAATCCCACTTTGCTGTTACATCCAAGTGCAAGTGTTAGAATAAACTTTTCTGCTTCAAAACTTGAGTGAAATGCTTGGCAAGGAACTTCTGCTGAAATACATGTTGACATTACAAGTTTAGAAGCCTGCTGGCAGACGACTCGTTGCAAAATCTAGAACTTGAAATCCGTGTGGATATAGATGCTGGGGTCATCCTTCATTGCCGTATGGGTCATCTCCGGGTGCAGGAGTAAAAAGTGCTTCCCAGAGCCTCCTGAAATTTTGCATTTCTCAATACAATGAATTCTGTGCGTCTGTGTTTTAAACTTTTGGGGCTGTTGACTGGGTGGTTACCTAAAAATTCCCCGGCCCGGCTTGGGTTCCCCAGCGGGACGGCAGAGACGAGGCGGGGGGGTGGCGCGGTGCCCGGCCGTTGGCCGGCTGACCCGCCGCGGCCCCCGCCTGGGCTCCGTGACCGTTTTTCTCCCCCTCAGGTGAAAGAAATGGAGGAGACGATTGAAGAACTGTTGCGAAGGCTGGACGAGTTCTGCGGGATAACGGACGCGGTACGTTCCCCGGAGCCATGTCGCCTCCGGCCCTGAGGGCGGGAAGGCAGGCGGCGCGCGCGCGCGGGGCGGCCATCTTGATAGCGCGGCCGCCGCGGGAAGGGCTGCGGCGCTGCGGGGCGTCGCGCCCACCAGGTGGCGCTAGAGCGCGCGCGGCCGTGGGGCTGGGGCGGGTGGGAGAGTCCCGCGGGGTCTGCTCGGCTGCCGCCCTGCCCCTGCCCCCCTGCCCCTGCCCCCCTTCCCCTGCCCCCCTTCCCCTGCCCCCCTTCCCCTGCCCCCCTTCCCCTGCCCGCCTGCCCCTGCCCCCCTTCCCCTGCCCCCCTGCCCGCCTTCCCCTGCCCCCCTGCCCGCCTTCCCCTGCCCCTGCCCGCCTTCCCTTTCCCTTCCCTTCCCCTGCCCGCCTTCCCTTTCCCTTCCCTTCCCCTGCCCCAGCTCTCCCCTCCCTGTTCCGAGTGCGGTGGGGGCACTCTGCCCTGCCAGCGCGCTAATCGGCGAAATACCGGAGGAACATCTCAGCAGTAAATTCTAGAATAACTAAATAATCCGTGTTCTCCATGGTCCTGTCCGTTACCCTTGGTGTGTTGCGAAGCCTTCCGAGAAGACTGCTCTGGTGCTAGAGCAGCTGGGCTGGCTTGATGCAGGCAGGGTTCCACGCGTTACAGTAACACCCACAGCCCCCAGCTATGCATTAAGGCCGCCTGTGCTAGATGCTGCACAAGTGCAACAAGCTAGTTCGGTCTTCTAAGAGCCTGTAATCAGAATGCAGGAGAGTTGTTGATACCAGCCGAATAACTGAGTGGGGAGTAGTAATTAATGATGGTTTTGAGACTGATTGGCAATGCAACATTTGTAGCACACCAGTTTGCCATTGTCACTAATTGTTTGGGATGAACCATTTAGAGCAAGAGGTTATGTGTTACTATTTAGCTTACCCAAGGCTTTCTGCATAACGTAGTGCTGTCTGAACAGTATGTGGATTATGGTGTTCATGTAAAAATAATGAATGTGATTTTTGCAGTCAACTTTTCTTTCCTTCCTTAGGCTAGAAAATACAAAATTAGGTAGAGGAACTGGTACTTAATTTTAACCCTGGGTATTTCATAGAGTGCTAGTTCAGGTAACATGGACCAAGTTTATGTATAGGGACTTCCTCTTATAACCACTGATGCACAGACCATCCCACCTTCTGTTAGCACTTACCACAACATTTTTCTTTCATCTTCAAGCATCTTGTATAACACATGTGCCATTGGCAACTACAGTGGTTTCTAAGTGTGTCGAATGCACTTCTACTGGCAAGAAGTGACTGGTCAACATCTCACTAGGGACTTGTTGCCTATGAGCTATTTTGTTTGGTGATTCCTAGGAACTGCATCCACTTTTCTGTTCAGGTATCACAGTGCTGTTTGGAGAAATGTTGTGCTTATTCTCAAGGACAGAACTCATAAGCCAGAGGTGGCACCGAAGCAGTCTGGTGTGGGCTACAAGAACACACTGAATACTCAAATCAAGATGTTTGACACAGTTAATGCAAAATATCATTAGCTAACTAATGATTATTATGTGGTTGTGAGACAGATCTTTCTTGCACCTTGGATGTGAATTCTGCTCAAGAAAAGTGAACATCATCCTTGTTCTAGGCAAATCAGTCACCAATATATCTAGTTATTAATTCTTTTTAGACTTCTGTGAGAGGTTTCTGGTTTTGTCATTGGCATGTCTTGCTTATGGAAAGGGGGCATCGTTGCTTCCAGAAGGAAGTGAGATAGAGTGGAAAGAAACAAAAGCTTGGCTCATCAGTCTCACATAGTTAGCAGGGGACTTAAAAGGAGAAATAGCTGCCTGGTAAGACTGGTTCAGTATTAGTGGTTGTTTAAGCAGTTCTTTTTCCATTCAGCTTTTGACAAAAATAGCTGTAAAGGAGCATGTGAACCTCAGAGCACACAGTCTATTTTTTGATACATCCTGGCTTACATTTGTCATCTTTAGATTCTCTAGTAAGCACATTGAGTCTGTGCAAAATGTAGAGTACAAGAGGTCGGTTTCTTGAGCCAAAAAATCCTTTGAGTTCATTCCTGAAAGGTGGTGATTGCTTCAGTGATACGACATCACCTGCTCAAAGCAAGTAGTTTGAATCAATAGCTCTTCACTGCTGATTGTATTCTGTCTGATTTACTATTAAGTTCATTCACTCAATTCTTCTGTTTGGGAGCTTACGCTAAGATTTTGTAGGTACCTTATGCTTTTTCCCATCAATCAGGCATGCACCTTACATTTTTGGCTCCAACAGAGGGAAGATCGTTAGCTTGTTCAGATGGATCCAGTGAGCTTTTAAACCTCCTGTGAGACAACTTCTCTTGCCAACCTTTTCTACAAAAACCACTAGTCTAGTTTCAATACACTATCTTTGCATTGCCCCTGAAAACATTTTTCCACAACCTGCAGGCTGTGAATAATTCCCTGGTATGCAGATTATTGACCTTATCTGGGAACATCAAAGCACTGCAGTCAGTGTGCTGATTCTGTGGCTTTCTATCCAGCACCTACAATGTAAGGTTCCTTTCAGCAGCACATCAAGTCATCAAGTGGTATCTGGGAATCTGATAAATATAATGTAGTACTTGAACTGATTCCAGCTTCTGTGCCTAGCAATAATTTGGTCTTTTGTCTATGCCAACAAAAGGCAAGGGGAATCTTGCTTTTTTCATTTGGGCATTCAGTAAAGTATTCACATAGAGGGATTTGGCTTTTCTCCTTTGAGTGTGCTGCTGCTTTTCACTTAGAAGTACTCTTGATGCATACATTTGAATAATGCAATGAGGAAAAATCTGGATCCTCATTGCTAGGAAGACAAAATGCTATTTCCAGTGTCATACTGTTGTACCTGGCTAGGCAGAGCACTTAAAATGGACGCTTGTACAGTAGGTAAGTTACAGTGACAACGTACATACAGTTCAGCATGCCTCACGCTTGACATGGAAAGAGCATCTTGCAATGAAAAGATTGTGCTAGAAGAATTTTAGTGCCAGTTATTTAACTTCTTGTGATCTCTTCATTAGGGCACTGACTTCAACAAAGTAAATTAATGTCTTTTAAGTGGCTTCAGAGCCTCTCAAGTATAATTATCAAATTGTGATTTTTAACTGAGCTATGATTTGAACCAGTGACACAAAAGCAAGAAACTGTAATAACCAGACTCTTCTGTTTTCATATTCTTCCCACGAGTCATTGTTGGTTACCTTTTCAGATATGATTTTTTGTGCTGCTTGTGTATCTTAAAGCATGATTGAAAATTGTATTTATTCAGACATGCACAGCTGGTTTAGTTACATGTGGAAGTTCACTACTTCCATTTCTTTGGCTCCTAATCCTGGAGGAGGATGTATGGATAGATACAGAATCTCTGATACTCTTACACATGTTGATCCTCCAGCATGCACACTAGTTTATAAATCAGCAGGTTAGTGGTTCTCAAGCCATTGAACCTTCTTGCAGAACTTGCCCCAGGGAAATGACATGTTGTAAATCTTGCTTTATTAGGGCTCCACAGTCCAGCTGCTAACTGCTGATCTTTGTCTCATGGACTTACAGTTTGGGAACCTCCTCCCTGAGGCCCTAGGTGTGAAACCTGGTTTCATCACTGGGGAAAAAGAGAGAAACAGATTGTTTTGTTTGGTTTGCTGTGGCTAGGGTTTGCTAACTTCACAGGAATCAACCTCAGTTTTCTCTTTTCTCACCACCAAGCTATTTAGTTTACAGTGCAGTTACTTGTGGTCCTTTTATGCTGCTCTGTTAACACATGGGATCAAAGATGGAAAAAGAATATAGAGAGATCCTTTCAAAAAAGTCCCTGTGACAACTAGAATTTCCACAGTATCTTTGACTTGTGGCTCCAGCTACTTTAATTTATTTTCCTGAAAAAATAACAGTTTTTATAAAATACAAAATAACAATAATCTGTGCTTGTTTAACTGGTACAGGTTGAACTGCAGTGTATGCAAGGATTGAGTCTAACTGCCCTACATGCAATGTGCTGTTCCTGCTTTGTGTTCTAATTCATCAGTCCTACTCTGGTTGTGCAGTCTCCTAACTGACTTTGGTCCTGTTGGTTTGCTTCCTCCTTGAGCTTAGTCTCACGGACTTGAATTAGAAGACAAAGCTCAATCAACATTCTCTCCTCACTTCCTCCTCCAATTAGCATAGTAAAATCTAGTAAGAATCCTTTTTTTTTTTCCCATGGACTGCTGTGCTCTGGTGCTTGTGCTGAGCACTCTGCTAAATCTTCAGTAAGATAAAGGAAAATACATTGCGCAGGGGGAAATAAATATTGTTTCATAATGTGGGGTTTCAGACCAGTCCTCCTTTCTCTGGCTCATGAGAGGTTGCTGTACCAAGAGAATCATTTCCCTTTGTCATGTGCTGACTCCTCTTGAACTCCTCTGTCGCTGTGGTTCTGCAGACTGCTGCAGAATGACTCTTCTTGAATCATATTTGCATATCATTTCCTTTCATCACAGGCTGCTTGCTGGAAGATCAGCTCTCCTGTGCCTTGTATTGGTCATTTGCTTTTACTGTCAAAGAAAGATGGTTTAGATTTGTTCCATGACTGCTCTGACCTTGTGTTGATAGTTTTTATACTGGGTCTGTACAACATCTCCCTCTTTCTGGCTATGTCCCAAACTGTGTTTTTATTTACAGCAGTTATCTAGCATCTAGCTGTAAGAGCGGCTTTCCCCTAGTCCTTTCTGAGACCAACATTAGCAAACAAGTTTGTTACCTTATCTTTGGAAGTATCAGCCTCAAATTTTAATCTTATATAGTTCACCTGAGTATGAACCTCATCTCAGACAGACCACCAACCTGTTTTTCACATGTGCTTTATGATAGAGGAGGGTTTTTTGCCTACTAGTGACCCGAAAGAATTAAATAGAACAAATCTGGAATTCATCTGCTTTGGCTCCTTCATTACGTATTCTGTATTTTTGTTTAACTCTAGGAAATATAAGTACAACTCCATTCACAGGGATCCTGCCTGAGTGTCTGTGCTCACTTTCTGTTGGATATAAAGTACATACTGTAAAGATAACAGTGTGTCCGTGTAGACAGTTATGTCACTGCTGGGGCAGGTGTCTGTGTATATATATATATATATATATATATATATATATACACACACACACACTGGATGTAGTGCTGAGACCAGTAATACAGGAGATACTGTTGCTTTGTTTACAATAGAAGGTTACTACTATTTTGATATGTCTGTTTGATCTCCTATTACAGAACACTTATAGCACTATAAAAGCACTTGATTTGCATGTACTTATTCTGGTAATAAAAATACCATAAAATCTTACTATGAGTCATTTTATATGTATATAGCTTGTTTATATTCATCTTTTAAAAACACAACTTCTTAAAAAAACCCCAAACACACAAATGAGTCATATGATCATCAGTAAAATATCTAAGTACCATGGTCCATAGACTAAATGATTTCTAGCAGGCATTTATGCTTTATTTGAGGTTCTGGATTAAATCTCAAAATGCCCAGAAAATTCCCTGCGGTATTAGCTCAACTCCAGATTCTTACCATTCTAGCCAAAAGATCCTTATTCTTTCCTAGGACGCTGAAGGAAGAATATCTTTGGGACAAAAATCTCTTTTGAAGACATCCTTGTTCTTCTATATTCTTTAAGTCTATTAAATTGTAGGCAGGTCAGCTTTAATCCAGAAATAAACCAAGATCTCCTATAGTCCATTGTAGTTGAAAAAGAAAACTTGTGCAAAAGTGGGCTCAACTGCTTCTCATTTTTCCTGTCAATGTGTTGCTGCTCTGTTTTCCAAATTAGAATGCTTATTTGGGTGTTTCAGTGGAGGTTTTCTTGGTTTTGCTTTTCTCTCTTCTTTCAGAGAGCTCTTCCCAGTTCTCATTCATCATTTTTGGCTCATATATTTCATTAGCTATAGTGCTCTGTTTGGGGTTGTATTTTACTGCCACCTAACAAAGCATTGGCAGTGGTTTATATAGGAAATTGGGTAATTCTTGCTAACACAAAACCCAGCAGCATTTTGCATAAGATTTAGGCTCTCATATGGATATCAGAAACCAGCTTGGTTGTAGTAGGTAACAAAAACAAACAAACAAACAAAAAAGTATCTTTCTTGTATTAGGGCACTTAGCTATTGTGGAGACTGACAGGGACTAGGGAGCAGAAGCTTTCTCTGAGGTGCCTACACTGTAATGTTGCATGAAGATTCTTGCTCTCCTGAGAACTCTGGTCCCGAGCCCCTGCTGAAGGCAAGATACTAGAAGCGCTGCACTCAGAGATCTGACTCTTTCCAAAAACTGGTAAGTAGTACGAGTTAGATCTTCTCCAATAAAATCAAAGCATGACGGATGGTATAGAGGCAGTTTTCATTTTAAATCCATCATTGCCCATCATGTCTGCAGTATTTCATACTAGAAAGTAGATGATCTCTTCGGAGGATTAATGTGGGGAGACGAGGGAAGGATCTGGTTACAGTTTTGGTGTGGGAGTCCTGTCATCTACTATTGGGGTTTTTTGGTTGTCTCATGGATTACTTGAGAAAGTTATTTTCCCAACCTATACTTTATAATGTACTGCAAAAGGGCCCTTGTGATGTCTTTCCTGAACAGGTGTTTTTTGAAATATTCACATGAAAAAAACAGTGTAGTGTTTATCTTCAAGATTCATCCTCATGTGAGATACGTTTTTTCATGCAGATTAGAAGTGATACATCAGAGATCCTGGATGAGACCATTCCACTCATTAAAGACAAGGTGATGGAAATGAACCACATCTATGCCAAAGTTGATAAATTAGAGGTTTGTTCATTGCATTAGAAAATTTACATCCTTCTTTTTATGTGTTTTATAGGTTATCTGTCCAGGTATTTATATAGAGCACTCAGATGTTTATGGCTCTCTATTGTCTTATGTTTGTTTTTAAATCAGTATATTTACCCACTGTTCAGCACATATAAGTGTTTATGGTATGGAACATCACTGAGTAATTTATTGCTGTGGATTCTACAATTCCTAATGGTAGATTAAAAGCATTAGTTGTGGTTTTGATGTTAATAATAATGCTAATAACATTAATTTGTTTTGTGACTTGAAGGAGTATCTATGAAACCGTTTGTAACTTCAAAAATTCAAGTTTTGCATCCAGTGCTGGTCATATCCATTTTAAGTTGTTGGTGATTGTCTTAGGTAGTAGTGGAGAGATCTCTCAGCTCCCATCTTCTGTTGTGTCTGGTTTGGTGTTTATTGTGTCCTCAATGAGAGAAGCCAGTATGACTCACTAAGATGATGCCCTCACCATATTTAGCAAGCAGTACCTTAAGATTTATGTCAACTGAGGGCAAGTTTGCCTCTGGGAGGAATGTAGTGAATACATGATGAGATAAATTGTGTGATATTTAAAATCAGTTTTAACTGACTCAAAGTGAAAGAAACCAAGTGTTTGTGGTATTAAATCCAGATAGGCAGTGCTTAAGCTTCAGGCTATGCCTCTGTACAAAGTAATATCCTCTCATAAGGTTTATTATGCTGGGAGGGACAGGGCAATTGACTTAGCTGTCAGCAAGTTTTCTTTAAATGCAATTCATTTTTTGTAGTTTGCATTTTTACACCTACATTTGATAACAGACTTATCAAGCCACTTCTTGTTTTATGGCCTTATACAGCACCAGGAGAAAGGTTCAGACAGGAAATTGAGGCAAGGCATTTTAGAACAAAAATGGGAATCAACTGTTAACCTGTTTAGAAATATGTCTAGTTTTCAGAACTGAATACTCTAGTCCAAGAAATAGCTAGCGGGTTCTCAGCATACTTGACAATTTGGCCATACTTGAATGTATATTTAAGACAGGACTGTGAAAAATGGCTGAATCAGGTTCCAAACTGTTTGTGGAAGTGTCTCACCCATTTAGGTCTTTTTGCAAATTCCATGCTTATAGGTGGTTGGAATTTTGGGGGGGATTGTGTGAGTGTGTTTTTGTCTTTGAACAGGAAAAGAAAATGAAAACTCTGAGCAATTACTTGTGCCAAAAGTATGGTAAACAACAGGGCTCCTTATTGCCTTTTTCCCCTCTAATACAGGGGGAAAAAACCCCAAGTCTTGCTGACCCCATTCCCTTAGTACAGCTGTAGGGATGTAGTAATTTGGAATATGAAGAAAACATCAGTCTTTGCTAGCCTACAGGTTGTCCTTGAATAATGCATCAGAATTTTGTTGAGAAGCTTTTTTTGTTTATCAAGGGAGGCTAATACCTTGATTGGCTAGGAATCAGTTTTCCTCCCTAACATGACCAGCTGTAATGGCAGTAATCTGAGAGCACAAGATTAAATTGGCAATTTGAGCAGTAGTTAATGTTTTAATTAGAATTTTTAAATTTAAAGCTTAGCATCCATGGGGATTTTCAAGGGAGAAATTAACTTGTACTCCTGAGAGTAGAAAGGGAAAGGATTGTTGTATAATGGTTATATAGGATGAGAAACTGCTGGATTTTAATTTTGATGTTGCCACTGATACATTTTGGATAATCAATTTACCTGTTCAGCCTCACCTTCCCCATCCATAAAATGGGCAAAGATCAACTTATCAAAAAAAAAAAAAAGTAAAGCTTAATCATTAATAGAGAGTATCAAAACTATTTGCAAACTGTTCTGTATTTTAAGAAGTAAATACAGTGTTCTTTCTAGTTGGCTTTCCCTTATGGCTCAAATTTCAACTGAAACTAAGCACACATATGTTTTAGGTCAATAATTCCTGACCTTTTTTAGCTAAAATCACTTGTCATTATCTTTTTCTCTGCTGTCTACTCCCTTTACTTTGGCTACTTCCTCACTCCTACCAGTAGTAGCAGTCACTTTGTGGATTCTGAAGAGCTTTTCACCTCAGTGCTGAAATGTTGCCAGAACTGTAGAAACTAGGCGAGTGCTTACATACTCCGTGTGCTGAAAAGGGAGCAAAAGTCTGCCCTTAGGTAAGGAGAAGAATTAGCCATAGTTCATGTCCAGTGGTTCTTCTCATGGCTATAAACATCTGTAGTCTACTTCTGAGTATGTGCCCCTTGCATGTTTATATTAGCAATAGTGCACTCTGAAATCTTGTTAAAGCTTCTTCTTTGACTTCTGATCTCTAGCTAGGATAATGTTGAAACTCAGCACTGGTGCTTTCAATTTTCACTAGGTGTTTTTCCTCTCTCCATAGGCATTTGTCAAAATGGTTGCACACCATGTTTCCTTCCTAGAAGAGCAAGTGCTTGAAGCAGAGAAGAGCCATGGCACCTTTCTTAATACAGTTTGCAAATTATTTCAGTGTGCAACTATCTCGTCATTTAAAAACGTGAGTATTTTTAAAGTTGCTTCCAGCAGATGGGAAAGTGATGTTAAATAACTTTTCTGTATCGAATGTGGCCTTACATCAGGTTTAATTATTAATTTTAAGTGGTGTAAAAGAACTAGCTACAGTTTGCTTCTGGAAAGGGAATTTTTTTACATTTTAAAAAATTCTTAATATTTTTTTTAAGAGATGTTGCTTAGGCTTTGAATAATTTCAGCAGTAATTTTTTAAGATACTGACACTTTGATCCTGATTTAAAGGATTTTCTCTGTATACGTATATGCAGATAGGAAGCTTGTTACACATCATCTTGCAGTTAGAGACCTAAGCATAGATTATTCTTTTATTTAGTCTTATGTCAGTTACGTTGAAATTACTTCATAGGGTTGTCTGTGGATGAGCACTAGAGGGACGTGAAAACTCAGTGAGTTTTAGCAACATTTGCTGATAGAAGAATGTTGAGAGTCAGGTTAAATGAGATCTGATGTGGACTCAAGGAAACTTTTTGTACTTTTCATTCTTTTTGTAGCTATTCTTTTCCAAGAATGTCTTCATACCACTTACCTTTACACTCTGTTTTCCTTCTCTAAGCTCCCAGGTCATTCTCTAAATCTGTTGTTTCCCCAGGGATTTATCTCAATCTCTAGTAGCCTTTTCTGAACTCATTCCTTCCATTCCTCCCTGTCTATCTTGATGTGATATCTACCAAGTTTTCAGTCTTAGCAGATCTCTCTTAGGATCCTTGTTCTAGTCTCAACTACTTCTCTACTTTTTTTTTTGTCCCTTCTATATTTTTGCCATTATGTTTCCCTCCTCATTTTCTTCCAAGGGGCTTTAGTACCAGTATGCATAATACTGGGTAGGCAATAATACACAGTATCGATGATCATGTAGCTACAGCTGAATTACTTCAAGTTTTTGTCTGGTATCATAGCAAGCTTTGAAAGCTTCAGTTGCAGGAAAAGTCCAGTTCAGTTTCTGTAGATCCAGGACAAACCTTAAATGCTTAAAGAGAATAATGAATATTCAGTCTGGTTAACAAAGGCGTGGACTGGAGACAGTAGATACTGATTTCATCTTCAGTTGTCAAACTCTAGTGAATCTTTCGAAAACCACAGTTTCTATAGGCTCAGTAAAGAGTTGTAACTTGGTCAAATATGGTAAATTTTCATAGGAATGAGAAAATATGTCCCTGATATGAGGGTAGTTTATTGCCGATTTAAAATCTCTGCTGTAGTTTATGAAGATATTGGAGCTTTTCAAAAGAGCTAAACAACACATACTTTTCCTTAATTTCATTTTCTGAATTGGCTTGATTTTGTTCTCTAAAACTTTCCGAACATGTTAAATCTGCAGCAGATACCCAGTCTGGAATATATATCAAAGCTGGAAGTTCTGCAAGGTTAGTCTTCCTTTGCAAATAATGTTGTATAACTAGGACATCAATAAGAATGTGAAGAAGCCCAGACTATTTACTCAAAGGTGGCATGAGTTGGGCTTGAAGACAGTATAGTGTTTTCAATATTTTTTTCCTTATAATTACAAAGAAAAATTTTGAAATACTGTGTATTTGTGTATTCGTGCTTGTAGGCATCTTGGAATTATAATATTAGTGAACAAAAGAGAAAAATAAATAGGGAAAGGTGTAGCTTCCACTGTACTGGTCTGATCCCTCCCTCTCATCCTTTTTCCCGAAAATAGTACAACTAGAAAGCACGGTGGGAGAGGTAGCAAGGATGAGCATAGATAAGGAAGAGTTCTCTCACAGACATTTCTAAACAGATGAGACTCAGCCTGAAGGAGGACAGGATAGAAATTTGTGAAATCATTCTGTATGTGGAGCAGCTGAATAGAGAATGATTATTCACCCCGTCCCATAATTCAAGAACTAGGGTCACCCGATGAAATTATCAGCAGGCAGGTTGACAATACAAAAAGGAAGGTACGTACTTTACATGATGTATTAATGTGCCATAGAACTTGTGTCCACAGAATGTTGTCCCTCCCCAAGCAATTAGACAAATTCGGGGGGGGAAATCCAGCAATGGATATTAAACAAAATATCTGTTCTTCAGTCATGAATTCTTGAAGACTGGGAAATAAGTTTGTATATTTACCCTGTAAACCTTTCCTTAGGCAATCCATTCAATGGGTCACCAGTTAAGAGGGATTATTTGCCTGCATGGACCTTTGAGTGATGCAGTACAGCTGCTTATTAATAACTTTTACGTTGTGGTTTTCACTGTAAATTCTGGCTCTGAATGACAATTCTCTGTGGTAATGAATTACTCACTTCTAGTAAAAGTGTACAGGAAAGGACTGAATTGTTTAAGGACATCAATGGAGTTTGAATTTCCACAGCAACTTTCCTTTTGGTTTGATTGTTGCCTGAAACCTAGTAAGATCCCTGCCAACTATCCAAGTTTCTGTACTGTCTCTAAATCTGTTTCTAGTTTTCCATCCCTTTTCTCTTGTTATGTAGGGTATCATTTCAGAGATGCCCCTTTGGCATCTTTTGCCATTTGAAAATGAGGACTTGCCTAACCATTTTTGTAGGTGAGTTTAACTTGTTCTGAAATGCCAGTATCCAACTTGTGTATCTTCCCTCCATAGCCTTGATCAGACTGGGTAAAAAAGTTTACGAGTGCCCCTCTTACTGAGTAGCATGTGTGCAATTATATGGATGTCAGCTAAGTTTTTTCCACTTCTGATTAGTCACGGGTGCCATTTTAAATGCAAGGGAAATCTCATTCTCAGTGTTTTGCAATTATATGTCAAGGTGCAGCAAAATCCTGTAACGTTTGTCTTTTTTATCTTTCACTGTGGTTTTTTGGTATTCAGAAATTTGTTCCTATGACTTCCAGTGCACAGTAACACTGGGAAAGGTGTCTACTCTGTGGGAGAAAAGTGAGTAATCAGAATTCACTCTTTGTGTTAGGAACATCCAGAGGTGGTCTGAAAAGAAACCACCATATGCTAAATATAAATTACAAATATGACTGGGTAGGTCTGACAGGTTATAAGAATATAACACCTCCTGAGGGAACACAACAGAGGAAATAACTTTCTCTTGTGAAGTTTGCAGCTCTGTGGAAGAAGAGCTTTTCTTCTGTAAAGCTTGAACTTTGTATGGGACAAACTGGGATTTCAAATCTCTTATTCAAAGATGTTACCTGTGCCCTGGCTGAATGGGGTTCAGCAGTCTTAGAGAAAGGACAGGAAATCTATTTTAGAAAACTCCAGTATGTGGAGTTAAAAAACCACTAGTATCTTTTCCAATGGAAGAAAACTGAATGTCAGCAAATCTTGCTGTTTTGTCATGCATCTTGTGATATCTGGCATTTTCTTAAAGCCAGAAATTTTCTTTGTGTCATTGGCTGAGAATTTTGTCAAATATTTATTTTTAGAGTAATTTTTAACCCTTCTATAGTTGCAGTGAAAGGCTTATAAAATCATAACCTCCAAAAAAATCTCATGCTGATGGTGTGAGGGAAAAATGCACATTTGTTACATTTTTTCAGAGGCTTTTTACTGTCTTTTTCTTTCTACTAATATTGTAATCTCTAGAATAGCGGCTGCTTATATGAGCTGGGCTTTGCTGTCTCATCTTCGCTAAGGTGCTGGCTAATTGTTTTTCCTGACACCTGGCGTAGATTCTGACAAATTGAACTAGGAAATTGATAACGGAATGTGAGGCATTCTGTGTATTACTTTATTAGTTCATCTGAGCTCAGTAATGAGCAAAAGTTAATTACTGAGTTATAGTGACTAAAGTATCTAGGAAAGAGACCTGTACTTAACAGTTCTTTTCAGTGGTTACCAGTGTGAAGTGTGGACTTTTGGCTTCAGTCTCAATAGATTGATAGTAGATTGATTCTCTGAGGGAAGAAAGCTCAGGAGGACTAAGGAGCCATGTAGAGTTAAGGTTTTGCTTAATGTAGAAGACAGCTAGCTGGGTTTGAACTTTCATAAATAACTCTTAACAAAAATAAATCGTTGGAATAAGAAATCTTTCCTATATTGAGACTTGCATTTATTTAACTTTTGTAGATCATCCTTCAAATGTAACCTGATGTAGATTTCAGCTTCACTATTTGCTACCAATTTATTTTCTTGAAGACTCCAGAGAAGCACATATTGGGATTTCTGTTACTGTCTTTGCCGCTGACAATGTGTGATCGCATATATGTCATGCTACTTCTTTGTGTCCTAATTTACCTCACAAGATAATGTTTAGTGTTTCCAAAATGCTATGAGATTTTTATGACAGCCTTGAAGAAAAATATTTGTTAAATTATTACTAAAACATACCAGATGGGAAAGATGAGAAGAGAGAAAATAGAGCAGAGTATTTCAAAACTGGGGGTGTACTATGTTCATATTTAAAACTCATTAATTTTCAAGTGCTGAATACTACCAGCCATACTTTTTAATATTGGGGAAAATAAAAAATCTGACAGGTACATAAATATTTAATGTTAAGAACTTCAAGGGGGTGTTCAGCTTATTTTACCTGCAGCTATCCAGTTCCATTCTGATTTGGACTGATTCATTAACTGTTTCGGGAGTCCCAGACAGGTCACAGTGGTTTGTGTTGAGAAAGATAACACTTAAAAATGGTAAGATTCAAGTGAGGGGATGCAATAGGCCCAGAAGTCTAGATTTCAGCTACCCATGGCTTTAGCCCTCATTTGCCTGCTTCTCTGAGGGAGCCCACACAATTCTCAAAGTGAAGCCAGAGTTTCTTGCCAGTTTGCTGAGCCTGGTTTATAGTGGAAGAGCTTCCGAGAGGCTGCAACACTGTGCTTGGACATCAAGCAGTGTGGCTGGTTTGGAGGAGCAGATGAGAGTCCTTGGGGCTTGAAAGCTGCGCACAGGTGTAGAAAATACACACATGCACACACCTGTGTATTGAGAACATTAGGAAGGCTGGGGGAGAAGGAGGAGTTTGGTCTTGCGGGATCCAGGAGGCAGGCATACAACACAGCTGACAGTAACAGTAT